AGACATTTGTGCTACTTGTTTCGCGCATGGACAGACGGCGCGATGAAGCGAATAAACATTCGTGCATCTCTACAACAGCATCTCTGTGATCGAGAATGTTAGCTCCCGTGGACCCCGTGGTGTGTTGGGACTCAGTACAGTGATTAACTGATGACCTATAGGATCACGATTAAGAAGCTCGATGCTTGGCTACAGCGGTGCTGACGATATCCTTCTGTACATCCCTTCGCTACTTTACAGACTTGACAGGCCTACGACCCTTAGAAGCTGTCGGTGCCGTACGTACTGATAATGTCTGCTCCGCTGCGTTAATGTCTACCCAAAGCTTCAAATGGCATATCGTAACCAGGAAGTGACAGCTTGAGCGATTTTGTTTGCAGGTAGCACACCTTGACACTGGCAACCAAGAAGTCCTCAGCAAGTAACAAACATCAAAGAGAGAGTGATTGTTTATCTTTTGTACATGTAAATAACGTGGTTGCAGCACACACAAAAAACGTTTTTACGGAAAACCCATTCTACAGTCGTGACTCGTGCCGACCCCATTAAATGCAATCGTCGATCAATAGTTCGTACAATAATAGAAGTCACAGGTGTCGTGGATGAAACGGGGTGAATCGTTACATAACAATTTATAAGAAATTGGTAATAGAATATAACTATAAGAGTTTTATTCTCAGATTATTGTCATAAGGACAAATATTCTGTAGCACTTACGAGTAGTTCCTAATTGGTTGATATAGGCCATTGTATCAACCAACGAAGACGCGCCACGACAGACGCACGCAATGAGTGGTGAGCAGATAATTGATTTACACATTTGTATTTAGACAAAGTTAGATGAGGACAAACAGTGGTTTATTAACAGACATTAACTGTACTAAATACAGTTCTACTTTTTACTTTAACCAAGTACTCGCTTCTTCTTACCGTCATCCTCTGCACGTACCAGTGTACGTGAAGTTCCGAGGCAAGGCCTTATTCTGTCGTCAGAAAATTAGTAGCTTGTACTGGTAACAGTACAAGCTTCAGGGTGCCCCGTTACACCTGGTAGCACTTCGTAGTCCGTCCAAGGACCGCGTTCACATCTAACATGAATATGTTGGATGATGAAGATGACCAAAGCTTTCACGCTACGCGTGACGGCTACTCCCATTTGAGCGGTGTCGAATGGGATGCGGTTGAACGGATGGGGTTCAACCATGGGCATCCATGCTGTTAGCGTCATGCTAGAGGCTCTCAATAGAGATGCCCAACATGCTACTATCGCCAAGTTCATTCAAAATGAACTTGACGCAGAACGCGAGAAAGTAGCCTTGCTTCACCAACAAGGTTCTCAACAATAGAGTTGTTGAGAGAACAGGGTGCTCAACAGTTTGAACTGTTGAGACAGCAGCAGGCTGCTGCTGGTGGGTCGATGCACTCGCGTCGACCCGAGACCTTGAAGATTGACATCTCCAAGTATAGGGGAGTCGAAGAGTACTCCCTCTTGAGATGGTTTGTCGAATCAGACGACGCCATAAGGGCGCGTCGCATCGACGATGGGGAAATGCAAGTTGCATTTGCCCAATCAAATCTGGCAGGACATGCCAAGACTTGGGCTTTGGGACTCAAGTTGCACGACCCATATGCGTTTGGGTCGTTATAAGTCTTCAAGTCGCGGCTCAGACAAACGTTTGAACCGCCTAGAGCTGAGTTCAGAGATCTAACTGAACTCTTGAAGCTCAAACAAGGTAAGCGTGATGTGCACGCTTACGCGCAACATATACGACATCTCACGGGCTGTATAAGTTCCAACCCGGTTGATGAACACACGTTGGTTTCGGTATTCATGTAGGGTCTTGCGGATGGTCCCGTCAAGACTCACCTGTTCCGACTTGAACTAGATTCACTAAAACAAGCCATTTCCATTGCGGAACAGGAAGACTTCAGTCTGAGACAGGCTCGCGCCAGCTCGACATCACATCGTACACAGAGACGATATGACAGCGGAGGTCCAGAGCCGATGGAACTATGTTATGTAGATAGCGAGAAGGCTCGCTCTACAGACTACAAGAAGTTGCAGAGATGCAACAGATGTCAAAAGACAGGACACTACGCTTACGAGTGTAGTGCCCCTCGTCCAGTGTCTCGCAACACTTAGCGTAGTGACCGTCCACCCTTGAGAAAGGGGCAGGGACGCGGGTCCGCCGTTGGTGCAAAGACGCAACAACGGGATGGACCGTCAAAAAACGGACAGGATCAGTAGGTGCGGAGCGCCCTACTGGTCCAGCAACGCCAAGAGAATTTGTAGGCCTCAGGATGAAGGTTGCTCCCAACACACAAACGTTGTGCGTTGCTGCTCTAGGTAATGAGATCTCACTCATTACCTTCAAACTCGAAGTGACGAATAAGTTGTCCCTTCGAGCTCTAGTCGATTGTGGGGCGTCTAACAATTTTGTACGACACCAATCACTAGAAGATAGTCATTTTAAGCTCAGTAAATGTATTTATCAGATGGCCATCTGATGAACGTTTTGGAGCGTCCACAAGCGTGTGGATGTACTATGAGTGAGTGCGATGGCCTCACTTGTGGTACGGTCGTTAGTACGACTGCACAAAACCTTAGTGTAACAAACAGTTACACATCGGAGCAAAGTTCCGGCGGCTGTGAGGAAACACAGGCTGCGCCGAAGGTCCACCACTCGAATAATTCGAGTGGACCGGGACAAAGATGTATCCCTAGCGGGGAACATCTAGAAGAGAAACAATCGATCGCTCAGGTTAAGCGAAATGATAATCCTAGATCGACTGGAGAGTCTTTCGTAGAGGATCTCGCTGTGGTTGCGCAACCCTTAGCTAGAGGAAATAAAGGGAATAAGTCCCAAGATTACGAATACGGCGGAAATAAGTTCCCCGAAACCCGCGGAAATAAGTCCCCGGGAAGCCGAAGGAATAGGTCCTTCGAGGCCTGAGGGAATAAGTCCACAGGAAATGACAGAGACATTGAATGTCCTAGTCAATGACGGATCAAGTGTAGGCGCTTATACACTTGATCTGATTGCGCCTCCGAAGTTGACTTCGGAGATCACTCAGTTGCCAACGCTCGAACATAAAAGGTTCTTGCGTGATCTGCATAGTGGCAAAGAGTCGAGCAGATCTGCGTACTCGTCGCTGACGACGAGTGTGTAGCCGACATAAGGTCAGCAACAGTGTTTACTGAGAACGAGAAAGTTCTCAGTAGTTCATCTATGGACGAGAGTGTTCTCGATGAAAAGACACGAGTTGAGCGAAATGACTCCCAATCGTGGGAATCGCTCAAGACAAATCCTCTCTATGAAGATTTGGTTGAATTCAAGGATGTATTCCCTGAAACTGTTCTGTGCGAGTTACCGAAGGATAAAGGTAATCGACACGAGGTCGAGCTTAAACCAGGCTTGAAGCACTGTGTCATGAAGCAGTGGCCACTGCCTCGTGAACAAGTACGTGCGATCGACAAGTTCTTTGCCGATCGTTTAGCTGCAGGCTATGTGAGATAATCAACTTCCCCACATAGCTTTCCGACCTTCTGAGTGCGAAAAGTAACAGGAGGGTGGCGGATAGTGCATGCATTCAACAAATTGAACGCTGCAACGGTACCGGCTCAGACGCCGATACCGAGGAAGGACGTAATCATTGATGGTATGTCAAAGAGTATCATCTTTTCGTCCATGGATTTGATGGATGGCTTCTATCAAATCCTTATGCGAGAACGGGATATACCCAATACCGCAGTGAGTACGCCTAGCGGCATTCTCTGGGAATGGCTAGTAATGCCACAAGGGATTAGTAATGCCCCTGCAACGTTCAAATGATGTGTATCACATCTGTTGAGACCAGTACGAGAATTCGCGCCGAGTTATTTCGATGACGTTTTCATCCATAGTCGGGCTATGGATGGAAAGTCGGACGTTGAGGTTCACAGATACCACGTCCGACAGGTTCTTACAATCATGCGAAAGCATCAATTGTATGCAAACCTCAAGAAGTGTATATTTGCAGCAAGCGAAATACCACTTCTTGGGTGCATCGTTGGTAAGAACGGTGTACGTCCTGGTCCCGAAAAGATCAAGGCGATCACCGACTGGCCTGTGCCGGTTGATGTCAAAGGTCTTCGAAAATTCCTTGGGCTAGCGGCGTATTTGCAGAAGTATTCACGCAATTACGCCGAGATGACTGTACACCTCTCTCGTTTGTTGAAAAAGAACGAGAGGTGGTTATGAAACGCTGAATGTCAGCGCTCCTTTGATGGTATCAAGCAGAGCTTGATACAATCCCCAGTCCTGGCAATAGCCGATCAGGACAGGCCATTTCATGTGGTCTGTGATGCCAGCGATTTTGCAATCGGATGTGCGTTAATGCAGTACGATCTTGAAGGCGTTGAACGCGTCGTCTGCTATCAGTCGCGTCAGCTGCAACCAGCTGAGCGGAACTATCCAGTGCATGACAAGGAGCTCCTTGCCATGAAGTATGCACTCGCTAAGTTCAGAGTCTATCTATTAGGAGATAGACCCTTCATTGTTTACACTGACCATGCGTCATTACGCACGTCAGTGAACAGCCCGCACCTTTCACAACGAACGGCGCGGTGGTTGTCATTCTTTGCAGAATACAACTTTACGGTCGAGTACAAACCAGGACGACTTAATGTCGTCGCTGATGCACTCTCACGTCGTCCCGACTTTGAACCAGTCGTGAAACCCAACAGTGAGACAGTCACTGTTGCGGTTATGACGTCCTCAGTCCCATCTTCAACGTTGCATGATGATGTGAGGCGGGCATACGCCCAAGATGGTGAGATTGTGAAGTTGTTGACACATCTCTCCCAACCATCCCGAGAATCGTTGAAACGATTGTCGCCTGCGTATCGATCTGCATCAGATCGATACACTACTCGCAACGGTTTACTGTATTATACAGCCGTTTCTGGTGACACACCACGTGTTGTCATTCCAGATGATACTGATCTGCGTTTGCGGATCATGTTCGAGTATCACGATGCTCCTATAGGAGGACATCGTGGCCGCGAGAAGACATATCTCACGGTGAGTCGAGACTTTTACTGGCCCCGCCAGTATCAGTTTGTGCGCAAGTATGTTCGCGCATGCGAAGTCTGCCAACGAGTGAAGTCAAGTTCTTCACTGCGTGCACCTTTACAGCCTCTACCGGTTCCGGCTGAGTGCTGGGATCCATCCCAATGGATTTTGCCTTCGGGTTACCCAAAGACGCACGCGGGAATACGGGTATTCTCGTATTTGTTGACAGATTCAGCAAAATGGTACACCTTGTGGCTGTACCCGAGTCAATCACGGCAAGTGGCTGTGCTTGTGTCTTTATTGACACCATCTTCCGACTTCATGGGTTGCCCCGTGAACTCGTATCAGACAGAGATCCACGCTTCACTGCTGATTTCTGGCGTTCCGTGTTCAAATCACTCGGAACGCTTGAAGATGTCGACATCTGATCATCCAGAGTCAGTTGGTCAGACGGAACGTGCCAATCGTGTCCTCGAAGAGATACTTTGAGGATACGTACACTCCTTTAAGAGTTGGAGTGAGTTTTTGCCAATGGTAGAGTTTGCCATTAACAACTCGGTGCATGCGTCCACGACACATACACCGTTTTACGTGAATGGCTTACGCCATCCGCGTGTACCCACCCTACTCGAGTGTAACTCTGGTTTAAGGGGGGGGACTCGCGCGAGCAAAAACCGATTTGGTTCACGCTCATCACGCTCTGACGAAGAGGTCATTGCGTTTGACGCCGATATCGATAACATCAATATCGAAGAAGATGATGCCAGTGAGAGTGCGGAAGCCCTCACTGAAGAAAAGATTGATGTTGCTGCAGTGCACTCACAGCGCACTGAAGCTAACGAGTCATCAGATGAGTTCATACTGGCTCGTGAAACGGTAGTCCGTTTTGTGCAAGACTCCATCACCGAAGCGGTGGATAAGCAAAAGCAAAACGAAGACAAGAATGGAAGGGCAAACACTCTTTTATTCAATAAAGGTGACTTAGTCCTACTGTCTACGGTTAATCTACCAAAGCATGTAGTGACTAACGTGGATAGTAGTTTACTACTACCCAAGCACATCGGTCCATTTCGTGTATTGCATCGCCTAGGCAACGCAAACACGATCGAACTGTCACGTAAGATGCGAACGCATCCCACGTTTTACGTTGGTAGGCTTAAGCCGTACCATCAATACGATGTTTCTTCCGATGAAGAACGCCCTTGCGCTCAAGCATCTCGCAGAGAGCCTTGTGCTCCCGACGGTGGATATCAACAAGGGTCTGAAGATCAGTTATCTCATCCCGAGACCGGTCAATATCCACACGAGCTACCCTTAACTCGTCACGCAGAGATGTCAAAGCTCTCTCGTTCTCAAGCTGAGCAAAGGCAAACTCAGCTCGATGCTTCAAGACAGTGTCCGCCAGTTGAAGACGCCTGTCCCGCTCATGTTCGGTTTCGTCGCGAAACGCAAGAGTTACGCGATCAAAGAGGATCTCGGAGACACACTCTTCCCCACGATAGTTTGGAGAGCGTTTTCCCTCCTCCTCCACCTCCATTAGAGGATTCTCGCTGTGGCCAGCGCTATCTGATTGAGCGGTTGTTGAGCCACCGCGATGTGAACGGACGTCGGACGAGTTATCTCGTCCAAAGGCGCGGCTATCCCCCGTCCTGGGATACTTGGGAGCCCCGCTCCCAACTGATGATTGATGTACTGGGTCTGGTCGAGCAGTACGACGCGGCACATCCTGCGCCGCAGAAGGACCGCCGGAGAAAGTCTTCCCGGCACGGTCGTAAAGGGATTTCAGTTTGTCAATCCCTTCTTACATCTCACTAGAGATACGTACGCGCCACCACGGGCTATTAAGGAGGTAAGCCTCCTTAGGTGCGCGCGCAGAGTTGTTCACACAACAAGGGTACGGGTCTCCCCAGGAGAGACAGGGTAAACCACTCTCCCTAGACAGACAATGCAGCTTGTAGCGAGCACCTGTTGGGGTTCTCTTTTCAAACTTATCACGAGCTTTGATAAGTTTGTCGTTTCAAACGTCACGACCTACATCCTCAAGGTTATGGATGTAAGCGTTCCACGCTTGAAGCAGTGAGGGACCATCACGTTTGTGATTCCCACTGTACCATCGATGTTTAAAAAAACAACGATGAAGAAATCATGATCAGTGTGATAGTCTTTCGCACTTTGGTCAAGGTGATGGATCCTTGACGAATCGAACAATCGTGTTCGATAACGATCACTCGTCGTCGCCGACAAGTGATCCATGACGGATTTGGAAGGCATCCATGCCTTCTTCTCGGGAGCGAGACGCAATACACTGCGGTCCCGCTCTTCTTGCGACGTGCCGACAGAAGCACTGGCACCTCGCTGCGAAGCGGTGTCAATAGGATTACCGACACCACTGTGAGCGCCCGAGTCTTGCGACTTCGAGCGCCTTCGCATTGGCGATGGTTCATCTGACGAATCAGATGAACCAAAGATGCTGCGACGCATAGCATCATCCATGCCACGCTTGGAAGGCGGCTTGGATTCGATCGCCTTCGATACGGATCCGTCTTCCGTATCAGGAGAGTATGAGACACCGAGCTCATACTCTGTAAAGACATGAGTGTCTTCATGACGAGCGCCTGCATCGCCAGGTGATACAGACTGAGTTGCTATGGCAACCGATGGCACATCGGTTGCAGCGGTTTCTGCTTCGGCGTCTGCACAGAGACGTGCGGACGCGCTCTCAGCTGCCTTGTTCGCGCACCGCATGGGCTTGTTTACCATGCGATGAACTGTGGAAAGTGGACTTGGAAAGGAAAAAGTGCAAACCCCGTCCCAAATGATTTGGGACGAGTATCCATTTAGTCAATCAGTCACTAAAGTGACTGATGGTTGGGGGGTGATGTAACGGGGTGAATCGTTACATAACAATTTATAAGGAATTATTTATAGAATATAACTATAAGAGTTTTATTCTCAGAATATTGTCATAAGGACAAATATTCTGCAGCACTTACGAGTAGTTCCTAATTGGTTGATAAAGGCCATTCTATCAACCAACGAAGACGCGCCACGACAGACGCACGCAATGAGTGGTGAGCAGATAACTGATTTACACATTTGTATTTAGACATAGTTAGATGAAGATAAATAGTGATTTATTGCAGACATTAACTATACTAAATACAGTTCTACTTTTTACTTTAACCAAGTACTCGCTTCTTCTTACCGTCTTCCTCTGCACGTACGAGTGTACGTGAAGTTACGAGGCACCGCCTTATTCTGTTATCAGAATAAGTAGCTTGTACTGTCATCAGTACAAGCTTCGGGGTGCCCCGTTACACGACGCCCCAAGCGACCCTTTGATGACTTCAATAGGACACACTTAGGCGTGCATACACCTCAGTCCAACCAGACATGTAACGGGGAAACCTGAAGCTTGTGCTGATAACAGTACAAGCTACTTATTTTGATGACAGAATAAGACGGTGCCTCGAAACTTCACGTACACTAGTACGTGCAGAGGAAGCTAATCTACTAAAACTGCTAGTTTGAGTAAAGGGTGAAAAGAGAACAGTATTTAATATAGTTAATGTAAAGGGGCACCCTGAAGCTTGTACTCGTGACAGTACAAGCTACTTATTCTGATGACAGAATAAGGCGGTGCCTCGTAACTTCACGTACACTCGTACGTGCAGAGGAAGACGGTAAGAAGAAGCGAGTACTTGGTTAAAGTAAAAAGTAGAACTGTCTTTATCATAGTTAATGTCTGTTAATAAATCACTATTTATCTTCATCTAACTATGTCTAAATACAAATGTGTAAATCAGTTATCTGCTCACCACTCATTGCGTGCGTCTGTCGTGGCGCGTCTTCGTTGGTTGATAGAATGGCCTTTATCAACCAATTAGGAACTACTCGTAAGTGCTGCAGAATATTTGTCCTTATGACAATATTCTGAGAATAAAACTCTTATAGTTATATTCTATAAATAATTCCTTATAAATAGTTATGTAACGATTCACCCCGTTACATCACCCCCCAACCATCAGTCACTTTAGTGACTGATTGACTAAATGGATACTCGTCCCAAATCATTTGGGACGGGGTTTGCACTTGTTGGTCCAAGTCCACTTTCCACAGTTCATCGCATGGTAAACAAGCCCATGCGGTGCGCGAACAAGGCAGCTGAGAGCGCGTCCGCACGTCTCTGTGCAGACGCCGAAGCAGAAACCGCTGCAACCGATGTGCCATCGGTTGCCATAGCAACTCAGTCTGTATCACCTGGCGATGCAGGCGCTCGTCATGAAGACACTCATGTCTTTACAGAGTATGAGCTCGGTGTCTCATACTCTCCTGATACGGAAGACGGATCCGTATCGAAGGCGATCGAATCCAAGCCGCCTTCCAAGCGTGGCATGGATGATGCTATGCGTCGTAGCATCTTTGGTTCATCTGATTCGTCAGATGAACCATCGCCGAAGCGAAGGCGCTCGAAGTCGCAAGACTCGGGCGCTCACAGTGGTGTCGGTAATCCTATTGACACCGCTTCGCAGCGAGGTGCCAGTGCTTCTGTCGGCACGTCGCAAGAAGAGCGGGACCGCAGTGTATTTCGTCTCGCTCCCGAGAAGAAGGCATGGATGCCTTCCAAATCCGTTATGGATCACTTGTCGGCGACGACGAGTGATCGTTATCGAACACGATTGTTCGATTCGTCAAGGATTCATCACCTTGACCCCAGCGCGAAAAACTATCGCGCTGAACATGAGTTCTTCATCGATGCTTTCTTTAGACATCGATGGTACAGTGGGAATCACAAACGTGATGTTCCCTCACTGCTTCAAGCGTGGAACGCTTACATCCATAACCTTGAGGATGTAGGTCGTGACGTTTGAAACGACAAACTTATCAAAGCTTGTGATAAGTTTGAAAAGAGAACCCCAACAGGTGCTCGCTACAAGCTGCATCGTCTGTCTAGGGAGAGTGGTTTACCCTGTCTCTCCTGGGGAGACCCGTACCCATGTTGTGTGAACAACTCTGCGCGCGCACCTAAGGAGGCTTACCTCCTTAATAGCCCGTGGTGGCGCGTACGTATCTCTAGTGAGATGTAAGAAGGGATTGACAAACTGAAATCCCTTTACGACCGTGCCGGGAAGACTTTCTCCGGCGGTCCTTCTGCGGCGCAGGATGTGCCGCGTCGTACTGCTCGACCAGACCCAGTACATCAATCATCAGTTGGGAGCGGGGCTCCCAAGTATCCCAGGACGGGGGATAGCCGCGCCTTTGGACGAGATAACTCGTCCGACGTCCGTTCACATCGCGGTGGCTCAACAGCCGCTCAATCAGATAGCGCTGGCCACAGCGAGAATCCTCTAATGGAGGTGGAGGAGGAGGGAAAACGCTCTCCAAACTATCGTGGGGAAGAGTGTGTCTCCGAGATCCTCTTTGATCGCGTAACTCTTGCGTTTCGCGACGAAACCGAACATGAGCGGGACAGGCGTCTTCAACTGGCGGACACTGTCTTGAAGCATCGAGCTGAGTTTGCCTTTGCTCAGCTTGAGAACGAGAGAGCTTTGACATCTCTGCGTGACGAGTTAAGGGTAGCTCGTGTGGATATTGACCGGTCTCGGGCTGAGATAACTGCTCTTCAGACCCTTGTTGATATCTACCGTCGGGAGCACAAGGCTCTCTGTGATATGATTGAGCGCAAGGGCGTTCTTCATCGGAAGAAGCAGCGTACTGATGGTACGGCTTAAGCCTACCAAAGTAAAACGTGGGATGCGTTCGCATCTTACGTGGTAACTCGATCGTGTATGCGTTGCCTAGGCGATGCAATACACGAAATGGACCGATGTGCTTGGGTAGTAGTAAACTACTATCCACGTTAGTCACTACATGCTTTGGTAGATTAACCGTAGACAGTAGGACTAAGTCACCTTTATTAAATAAAAGAGTGTTTGCCCTTCCATTCTTGTCTGCGTTTTGCTTTTGCTTATCCACCGCTTCGGCGATGGAGTCTTGCACAAAACGGACTACCGTTTCACGAGCCAGTATGAACTCATCTGATGACTCGTTAGCTTCAGTGCGCTGTGAGTGCACTGCAGCAACATCAATCTTTTCTTCAGTGAGGGCTTCCGCACTCTCACTGGCATCATCTTCTTCGATATTAATGTTATCGATATCGGCGTCAAACGCAATGAACTCTTCGTCAGAGCGTGATGAGCGTGAACCAAATCGGTTTTTGCTCGCGCGAGTCCCCCCCCCCTTAAACCAGAGTTACACTCGAGTAGGGTGGGTACACGCGGATGGCGTAAGCCATTCACGTAAAACGGTGTATGTGTCGTGGACGCATGCACCGAGTTGTTAATGGCAAACTCTACCATTGGCAAAAACTCACTCCAACTCTTAAAGGAGTGTACGTATCCTCAAAGTATCTCTTCGAGGACACGATTGGCACGTTCCGTCTGACCAACTGACTCTGGATGATCAGATGTCGACATCTTCAAGCGTTCCGAGTGATTTGAACACGGAACGCCAGAAATCAGCAGTGAAGCGTGGATCTCTGTCTGATACGAGTTCACGGGGCAACCCATGAAGTCGGAAGATGGTGTCAATAAAGACACAAGCACAGCCACTTGCCGTGATTGACTCGGGTACAGCCACAAGGTGTACCATTTTGCTGAATCTGTCAACAAATACGAGAATACCCGTATTCCCGCGTGCGTCTTTGGGTAACCCGAAGGCAAAATCCATTGGGATGGATCCCAGCACTCAGCCGGAACCGGTAGAGGCTGTAAAGGTGCACGCAGTGAAGAACTTGACTTCACTCGTTGGCAGACTTCGCATGCGCGAACATACTTGCGCACAAACTGATACTGGCGGGGCCAGTAAAAGTCTCGACTCACCGTGAGATATGTCTTTCTCGCGGCCACGATGTCCTCCTATAGGAGCATCGTGATACTCGAACATGATCCGCAAACGCAGATCAGTATCATCTGGAATGACAACACGTGGTGTGTCACCAGAAACGGCTGTATAATACAGTAAACCGTTGCGAGTAGTGTATCGATCTGATGCAGATCGATACGCAGGCGACAATCGTTTCAACGATTCTCGGGATGGTTGGGAGAGATGTGTCAACAACTTCACAATCTCACCATCTTGGGCGTATGCCCGCCTCACATCATCATGCAACGTTGAAGATGGGACTGAGGACGTCATAACCGCAACAGTGACTGTCTCACTGTTGGGTTTCACGACTGGTTCAAAGTCGGGACGACGTGAGAGTGCATCAGCGACGACATTAAGTCGTCCTGGTTTGTACTCGACCGTAAAGTTGTATTCTGCAAAGAATGACAACCACCGCGCCGTTCGTTGTGAAAGGTGCGGGCTGTTCACTGACGTGCGTAATGACGCATGGTCAGTGTAAACAATGAAGGGTCTATCTCCTAATAGATAGACTCTGAACTTAGCGAGTGCATACTTCATGGCAAGGAGCTCCTTGTCATGCACTGGATAGTTCCGCTCAGCTGGTTGCAGCTGACGCGACTGATAGCAGACGACGCGTTCAACGCCTTCAAGATCGTACTGCATTAACGCACATCCGATTGCAAAATCGCTGGCATCACAGACCACATGAAATGGCCTGTCCTGATCGGCTATTGCCAGGACTGGGGATTGTATCAAGCTCTGCTTGATACCATCAAAGGAGCGCTGACATTCAGCGTTTCATAACCACCTCTCGTTCTTTTTCAACAAACGAGAGAGGTGTACAGTCATCTCGGCGTAATTGCGTGAATACTTCTGCAAATACGCCGCTAGCCCAAGGAATTTTCGAAGACCTTTGACATCAACCGGCACAGGCCAGTCGGTGATCGCCTTGATCTTTTCGGGACCAGGACGTACACCGTTCTTACCAACGATGCACCCAAGAAGTGGTATTTCGCTTGCTGCAAATATACACTTCTTGAGGTTTGCATACAATTGATGCTTTCGCATGATTGTAAGAACCTGTCGGACGTGGTATCTGTGAACCTCAACGTCCGACTTTCCATCCATAGCCCGACTATGGATGAAAACGTCATCGAAATAACTCGGCGCGAATTCTCGTACTGGTCTCAACAGATGTGATACACATCATTTGAACGTTGCAGGGGCATTACTAATCCCTTGTGGCATTACTAGCCATTCCCAGAGAATGCCGCTAGGCGTGCTCACTGCGGTATTGGGTATATCCCGTTCTCGCATAAGGATTTGATAGAAGCCATCCATCAAATCCATGGACGAAAAGATGATACTCTTTGACATACCATCAATGATTACGTCCTTCCTCGGTATCGGCGTCTGAGCCGGTACCGTTGCAGCGTTCAATTTGTTGAATGCATGCACTATCCGCCACCCTCCTGTTACTTTTCGCACTCAGAAGGTCGGAGAGCTATGTGGGGAAGTTGATTATCTCACATAGCCTGCAGCTAAACGATCGGCAAAGAACTTGTCGATCGCACGTACTTGTTGACGAGGCAGTGGCCACTGCTTCATGACACAGTGCTTCAAGCCTGGTTTAAGCTCGACCTCGTGTCGATTACCTTTATCCTTCGGTAACTCGCACAGAACAGTTTCAGGGAATACATCCTTGAATTCAACCAAATCTTCATAGAGAGGATTTGTCTTGAGCGATTCCCACGATTGGGAGTCATTTCGCTCAACTCGTGTCTTTTCATCGAGAACACTCTCGTCCATAGATGAACTTCTGAGAACTTTCTCGTTCTCAGTAAACACTGTTGCTGACCTTATGTCGGCTACACACTCGTCGTCAGCGACGAGTACGCAGATCTGCTCGACTCTTTGCCACTATGCAGATCACGCAAGAACCTTTTATGTTCGAGCGTTGGCAACTGAGTGATCTCCGAAGTCAACTTCGGAGGCGCAATCAGATCAAGTGTATAAGCGCCTACACATGATCCGTTATTGACTATGACATTCAATGTCTCTGTCATTTCCTGGGGACTTATTCCCTCAGGCTTCGAAGGACTTATTCCTTCGTCTTCCCGGGGACTTATTTCCGCGGGTTTCGGGGAACTTATTTCCGCCGTATTCGTAATCTTGGGACTTATTCCCTTTATTTCCTCTAGCTAAGGGTTGCGCAACCACAGCGAGATCCTCTACGAAAGACTCTCCAGTCGATCTAGGATTATCATTTCGCTTAACCTGAGCGATCGATTGTTTCTCTTCTAGATGTTCCCCGCTAGGGATACATCTTTGTCCCGGTCCACTCGAATTATTCGAGTGGTGGACCTTCGGCGCAGCCTGTGTTTCCTCACAGCCGCCGGAACTTTGCTCCGATGAGTAACTGTTTGTTAAACTAAGGTTTTGTGCAGTCGTACTAACGACCGTACCACAAGTGAGGCCATCGCACTCACTCATAGTACATCCACACGCTTGTGGACGCTCCAAAACGTTCATCAGATGGCCATCTGATAAATACATTTACTGAGCTTAAAATGACTATCTTCTAGTGATTGGTGTCGTACAATATTGTTAGACGCCCCACAATCGACTAGAGCTCGAAGGGACAACTTATTCGTCACTTCGAGTTTGAAGGTAATGAGTGAGATCTCATTACCTAGAGCAGCAACGCACAACGTTTGTGTGTTGGGAGCAACCTTCATCCTGAGGCCTACAAATTCTCTTGACGTTGCTGGATCAGTAGGGCGCTCCGCACCTACTGATCCTGTCCGTTTTTTGACGGTCCATCCCGTTGTTGCGTCTTTGCACCAACGGCGGACCCGCGTCCCTGCCCCTTTCTCAAGGGTGGACGGTCACTACGCCCAGTGTCGCGAGACACTGGACGAGGGGCACTACACTCGTAAGCGTAGTGTCCTGTCTTTTGACATCTGTTGCATCTCTGCAACCTCTTGTAGCCTGTAGAGCGAGCCTTCTCGCTCTCTACGTAACATAGTTCCATCGGCTCTGGGCCTCCGTTGTCATATCGTCTCGGTTGACGATATGATGTCGAGCTGGCGCGAGCCTGTCTCAGACTGAAGTCTTCCTGCTCCGCAATGGAAATGGCTTGTTCTAGTGAATCTAGTTCAAGTCGGAACAGGTGAGTCTTGACGGGACCATCCGCAAGACCCTGCATGAACACCGAAACCAACGTGTGTTCATCCACCGGATTGGAACTTATACAACTCGTGAGATGTCGTATATGTTGCGCGTAAGCGTGCACATCACGCTTACCCTGCTTGAGCTTCAAGAGTTCGGTTCGAGCTCTGAACTCAGCTCTAGGCGGTTCAAACGTTTGTCTGAGCCGCGACTTGAAGACTTATAACGACCCAAACGCATATGGGTCGTGCAACTTGAGTCCCAAAGCCCAAGTCTTGGCACGTCCTGTCAGATTTGATTGGGCAAATGCAACTTGCATTTCCCCATCGTCGATGCGATGCGCCCTTATGGCGTCGTCTGATTCGACAAACCATCTCAAGAGGGAGTACTCTTCGACTCCCCTATACTTTGAGATGTCAATCTTCAAAGTCTCGGGCCGACGCGAGTGCATCGACCCACCAGCAGCAGCCTGCTGCTGTCTCAACAGTTCAAACTGTTGAGCACCTTGTTCTCTCAACAACTCTGATTGTTGAGAACCTTGTTGGTGAAGCAAGGCTACTTTCTCGCGTTCTGCGTCAAGTTCATTTTGAATGAACTTGGCGATAGTAGCATGTTGGGCATCTCTATTGAGAGCCTCTAGCATGACGCTAACAGCATGGATGCCCATGGTTGAACCCCATCCGTTCAACCGCATCCCATTCGACACCGCTCAAATGGGAGTAGCCGTCACGCGTAGCGTGAAAGCTTTGGTCATCTTCATCATCCAACATATTCATGTTAGATGTGAACGCGGTCCTTGGACGGACTACGAAGTGCTACCAGGTGTAACGGGGCACCCTGAAGCTTGTACTGTTACCAGTACAAGCTACTAATTTTCTGACGACAGAATAAGGCGGTGCCTCGGAACTTCACGTACACTGGTACGTGCAGAGGATGACGGTAAGAAGAAGCGAGTACTTGGTTAGAGTAAAAAGTAGAACTGTATTTAGTACAGTTAATGTCTGTTAATAAACCACTTTTTATCCTCATCTAACTATGTCTAAATACAAATGTGTAAATCAATTATCTGCTCACCACTCATTGCGTGCGTCTGTCGTGGCGCGTCTTCGTTGGTTGATATAATGGCCTATATCAACCAATTAGGAACTACTCGTAAGTGCTACAGAATATTTGTCCTTATGACAATATTCTGAGAATAAAACTCTTATAGTTATATTCTATTACCAATTTCTTATAAATTGTTATGTAACGATTCACCCCGTTTCATCCACGACACCTGTGACTTCTATTATTGTACGAACTATTGATCGACGATTGCATTTAATGGGGTCGGCACGAGTCACGACTGTAGAATGGGTTTTCCGTAAAAACGTTTTTTGTGTGTGCTGCAACCACGTTATTTACATATACAAAAGATAAACAATCAATCTCACTTTGATGTTTGTTACTTGCTGAGGACTTCTTGGTTGCCAGTGTCAAGGTGTGCTACCTGCAAACAAAATCGCTCAAGCTGTCACTTCCTGGTTACGATATGCCATTTGAAGCTTTGGGTAGACATTAACGCAGCGGAGCAGACATTATCAGTACGTACGGCACCGACAGCTTCTAAGTGTCGTAGGTAGGCCTGTCAAGTCTGTAAAGTAGCGAAGGGATGTACAGAAGGATATCGTCAGCACCGCTGTAGCCAAGCATCGAGCTTCTTAATCGTGATCCTATAGGTCATCAGTTATCACTGTACTGAGTCCCAACACACCACGGGGTCCACGGGAGCTAACATTCTCGATCACAGAGATGCTGTTGTAGAGATGCACGAATGTTTATTCGCTTCATCGCGCCGTCTGTCCATGCGCGAAACAAGTAGCACAAATGTCTCACTACATACACGGTGACAGTTTTGCAATGCATTTTGGGTCGATTTCAATGCAACAACGACGACAAAGTGCTCTCAAATGTTGCTGAACATTAGAGAGTCAATTATCGCAAAAAGAGACTGAGCAGACGTGGGTTTTCAAGTAAATGTATCAACAATGACGATTATCGTTGCAAGAGCGAGCACCAATACTGCCTTGATTTACAGGGCGGGCGACTACGCGCTGTCGCTTCTCACTAGACCCGCTGCGCGAACCGGAAACGACGCCGTTGTAGCTTCTAAACTCCGAGCACTTACAGGAAATAGGTGACAACCACAGCGGTGAAGGCAGCCACACTGCCAACAGCCACCGAGGCGGCGCCGGACGCAGAGGCAGACGCGTCGCCGGACGCAGAGGCAGAGGCGTCGCCGGCGGCAGGACTCGTAGGATCCACGGCGGCAGAACCCGTTTCCTCAACGCCATCAGTAACCATCGTGGAGTCGGCGACGCCCGGTGCGGGCTCGGCGGTCATTGACGAGTCGCCCACAACTGTTGCATCCGCAACGCTTCCGGCGGTACCCGTGGGCGAACCACCGACGGCAGTGAGGTCTGCCGACGGGCCAGCGGCGGAGCCAGGGTTCGTGGTACCGCTCATGTCGGCGTTCATCGCGGCATTAGGATCCACCGTCGCGGCTCCGGAGGCCGTTCCTTCAGTGGCCCCTCCAGTCGTGGCCGTGGTTCCTTCAGTCGTGGTTGTGGTAGCTGGGGATCCTGCTGCAGGATCTGCCGGAGCCTGTCCGTTTGCGACGGCGACGATGAGAGCAGCAGCGACGAATGTGAAGACCTTCATGGTGTACTTGGGAGTGGAGTGGGGTGTGGACTAGGAAGCTGCTGGGCACTTGCTGGTGAATGTGAGAATGAGGAGACTGTCGGGCGAGACGCCAAGATGCCGCTGCGGCTGTCGCTGTCCAGAGTCGGCGGCGGGACCATCGGGTGGTCTCGTTTTTCTCTCTTGCTCGTGCGACCGACGAACGAGCGTACGACACGACTAAAGAAAGGCGCAGCAGGTCGGTGTCGCGTGTTCTGAAAAGGTGCTGCGAGCACACGATAGGAAAAGGAAGCATAGTGAACTCAAGCGATGCAAAGAGGGACGTGTTTTTACGTCGCATGGACCACAAAATTTGGTGTCCACTCGTGGCGACACGTGGGCCTCATTCTGGTTGATGGTTCGCGATTAAGCAAAACGTAAAAAGAAAAGGCATCGAGAGGAACTAGAACCGATGTAGTAAAACTTGCGCGTGCCTAGGACGTGTTTTCGACCCTAATCAGTATCAAGGCGAGACGCGGAACAGACGACAGTCTTTTTAGGCTGCTAGTGCACTCCACAAGCTGGCGGCATCGGGTTTCCAAAGCACATGACGTTGGTGCAACAGCATTGAAGTTACGTGAGATTTGAGCGTGTCAGCATCCACGGTAAAACCACAAGACGACACTATCACTTGCCTAAACGGGCGCTTGTCCATCTGTATTGCGACAGACGTGAGGCTAGCGGTAGTCAGTTCTGATCCCGCTGCTCGCGTGGTCGCTTTGTCGCCCCCACGAAGAGCACCGTGCCATATGACAGTCCATCTGGGGAGTCGTACCACCTGAAAGCCCTACGGAACGACCGTATCTGATTAAATGGACAATGCAGCCGCGCGTTCCTGTCGTGCGAGACGAGCCTTTACGGAAGAAAAAACGAGAAGCCACCAGCTGGTAACGACACGACGAAACGAGAAGAAAATCTAGCGCTGGAATTAGCCGACGTGGCGATTATGCAGACACAGCTCTTAAATGGTCAGAAAAGCCGCAGAAAATTCGTGGCGACCGCGCATTTGTCGCGTCGTAGACTTCGTGCGCATGCGGTGCCCATCGCGCGTTTGGTGCTCATCGTTCTTATCATAGCATCGTACCAAGTCCCAGCAGCCCGATAAGAACCCACCCGCCAATCGCAGCCGTGGCAAAAGCAGCACTCGAATCGTCAGATCGCGTCACCGAATCCGACTGCGACTGGGATGAGTCCTTGTCGCTCTTAGGCTCCCTCGTCATTGGGGTCGCGATATCGGTAGTACCACCGACGCTACCACTGCCACTGTCAACCAGTGGCACAGGATCGGCGGCCACTATTGGACCCGGCGCTCCCGTTACCGGAGTGGTGTCAGCCGGTGGGACTGGAGCAGCAGCAGGATCCATGACGACTGGTGCGGCCATTCCTGGAGCTGCCGTGTCAGGTGGAGAAGTCACTTGACCAGAGGGATCTGCAGTCGTGTCCGGTGGAGCAATCACTGCAGCAGAGGGATCTGCTGCCATGCTGCCTACCTGTTCTCCGACATTGGTGTCCTGAGCCGCAGCGATTGCAAGCGCACACGCAAGTAGAGCAGAAAACCCGATTCCTTGCATGATCGAGGAGATTTGTTGTGAATGATGTGGTGAGTCGACTTTAGTAAATGCAGATATGTGAAGAGCGTAATGCCACCTAGACTTTCATGCTGAAGCTTGATTGATGGGAGCGAGTGAGTGATGGTGGCAGACACGGATGCCGTCTCGTTCTAGTCACACGATGTCAATCTTGCACTCGTCGATTATACGGGGGGGGGCAGTCACAGCATTTCGGCTAAACGACTTGCTGCCAATGGAAAAGCTTCTAAACCTTGACGCGGAATTCGATGCAGATGGGGATGTTGACGATTTGTAAGTCTGTGGCACAAGCTCGCAGCGCTAAGAATCGCCTGTGTCTATGCTGGAGAATAGAGGCACAATGAGTGAGTATTATTCGACGAAGTCCTGCTAGTGCAATGGCCGATAGCTGTTATTTCGCAAGGGACACTCATTCGTCTTACGGTCTTCACGCGTTTGTAACTTCCAGCCATTTGCAGCCTCTGCTACGAGACTGGAATGCATGCAACAGCTCGAATTTCACTCAAAGGGATGCAGTAGCAAACTCAAGCATGGCAGTGTTTGTACAGTAGTGATATCAAGTGCGGGTCGTTCACATGCAAGGAGCTAAGAGTTGGTTTTTGAATTCCCACTTTTGTGAGTACACAGGAGCATTATATTACAGCAAATCGCCTAGTACGTCGATGGAGTGCGTTGTAGCACCATGTCAGATGTCGCCCGCCATAATGTGAAGTAGCATGATCTGAATAACACTGTGCACATGGGTGTGGTTACAACCTTCGACTTTGCCAGGCCTGCAGACACTAACGGTACTATGTTTTCCAGAAGCTCGGAGGTCGTGACCGTTTTCGCTTCGGAGTAGGTTTTGGAGAAGCTGATTCTTTTGTAAAAGTGCGCCATACTTTGCTACCTAGTTAAAGCTGTGAAATGTTTGAGAAGATGCAATGCATTTCTCCATTTTTGGGTAAGATAGCAAAGCCACCTGCATGTTTGTAGCGCACTTTTATGTTACGGCGAATAAAAATACGACGTTAAGATAAGGGAAGCAAGCTCTAGAACTCGCCCTTTGATTAAAGTAATCCAGTTCGGAATGCTGTTGCAAAAGAATATACATTAGCAATCACTGAAGAAAAGAATGATGCTATCAATGTCTGTGTTTACCACGTATAGTCGGCTAGGGCAACGCGATCGGCTTTTGCTTATAATCACCAAAACTTGCTTTTGTGATCAAATTCACCTTTGATTAATTATAAGCTATTTAGGTGCGCGCTTCACAATGTTGACAGATTTATAGAATGATAACCATCATGCTTATCACTCAATAAAAAGAGGTGTTGGGGTGAATCGTTACATAACAATTTATAAGAAATCGTTCATAGAATATAACTATAAGAGTTATATTCTCAGAATATTGTCATAAGGACAAATATTCTGCAGCACTTACGAGTAGTTCCTAATTGGTTGATGTAGTGTAACGGGGCACCCTGAAGCTTGTACTGGTGACAGTACAAGCTACTTATTCTGATAACAGAATAAGGCGGTGCCTCGTAACTTCACGTACACTCGTACGTGCAGAGGAAGACGGTAAGAAGAAGCGAGTACTTGGTTAGAGTAAAAAGTAGAACTGTATTTATAATAGTTAATGTCTGCAATAAATCACTATTTATCTTCATCTAACTATGTCTAAATACAAATGTGTAAATCAGTTATCTGCTCACCACTCATTGCGTGCGTCTGTCGTGGCGCGTCTTCGTTGGTTGATATAATGGCCTATATCAACCAATTAGGAACCACTTGGAAGTGCTACAGAATATTGTCCTTATGACAATATTCTGAGAATATAACTCTTATAGTTATATTCTATTAACAATTTCTTATAAATTGTTATGTAACGATTCACCCCGTTACATCACCCCCCCCTTAACCATCAGTCACTTTAGTGACTGATTGACTAAATGGATACTCGTCCCAAATCATTTGGGACCGGGTTTGCACTTGTTGGTCCGCGTCCACTTTCCAACATCTCATCGCATGGTAAACAAGCCCATGCGATGCGCGAGCAAGGCCGCCGAGAGCGCGTCTGCACGTCTCTGTGCGGACGCCGAAGCAGAAACTACAGCAACTGATGTCCCATCGGTTGCTGAATCGACTCAGCCTGTATCACCTGGTGATGCAGGCGCTGGTCATGAAGACACTCGTGTCTTCACAGAGTACGAGCTCGGTGTCTCGTACTCTCCTGATACGGATGACGGATCCGTATCGACGGCAATTGAATCCAAGCCGCCTACCAAGCGTGGCATGGACGATGCTTTGCGTCGCAGCATCTTTGGTTCATCTGATGAGTCAGATGAACCATCGCCGAAGCGAAGGCGCTCGAGGTCGCGAGACTCGGGCGCTAATAGTGGTGTCGTTTCTCCAATGGACACCACTTCACAGCGAGGTGCCAGTACTTCTGTCGGCACGTCGCAGGAAGAGCGGGACCGCAATGTGTTGCGTCTCGCTCCAGAAAAGAAGGCATGGATGCCTCCTAAATCTGTCATGGATCACTTGTCGGCGACGACGAGTGATCGTTATCGAACACGATTGTTCGATTCGTCGAGGATTCATCACCTTGACCCCAGCGCGAAAGACTATCGCGCTGAACATGAGTTCTTCATCGATGCTTTCTTCAGACATCGATGGTACAGTGGGAATCACAAACGTGATGGTCCCTCACTACTTCAGGCGTGGAACGCCTACATCCATAATCTCGAGGATGTAGGTCGTGACGCTTGGAACGACAAACTTATCAAAGCTCGTGATAAGTTTGAAAAGCGAACCCCGACAGGTGCACGCTATAAGCTGCATCGTCTGTCAAGGGAGAAAGGATTACCCTGCCTCTCTTGGGGAGACTCGTGCCCATGTTGTGTGAACAACTCTGCACGAGCACCTAAGGAGGCTTACCTCCTTACCAGCCCGTGGTGGCGCGTACGTGTCTCTACTGAGATGTACGAAGGGATTGACAAACTGAAATCCCTTTACGACCGTGCCGGGAAGACTTTCTCCGGCGGTCCTTCTGCGGCACAGGATGTGTCGCGTCGTACTGCTCGACCAGACCCAGTACGTCAACCATCAATTGGGAGCGGGGCTCCCAAGAATCCCAGGACGGGGGATAGCCGCGCCACCGGACGAGGTAACTCGTCCGACGTCCGTTCACGTCGCGGTGGTTCAACAGCTGCTCAATCAGATAGCGCTGGCCACCGCGAGAGTCCTCTAATGGAGGTGGAGGAGGAGGAAAGACGCTCTCCACACGATCATGTGGATCGGTGTGTTCCCGAGAGCTTCTTTGATCGCGTAACGCAAGGGTTACGCGACGATCTCGAGCATGAGCGGAATAGGCGTCTCCAGATGGTGGACACTGCCTCGAAGCATCGAGCTGAGTTTGCCTTTGCTCAGCTTGAGAACGAGAGATCTCTGACATCTCTTCGTGACGAGTTAAGGGTAGCTCGTGTGGATATTGACCGGTCTCGGGCTGAGATAACTGCTCTTCAGACCCTTGTTGATGCCCACCATCGGGAGCACAAGGCTCTCTGCGAGATGCTTGAGCGCATAAGCGTTTTTCATCGGAAGAAGCAGCGTACTGATGGTACGGCTTAAGCCGACCAACGTAAAACGTGGGATGCGTTCGCATCTTACGTGGTAACTCGATCGTGTATGCATTGCCTAGGCGGTGCAATACACGAAATGGGCCAATGTACTTGGGTAGTAGTTTACTGCTACCCAAGTTAGTCACTACATGCTTTGGTAGATTAACCGTAGACAGTAGGACTAAGTCACCTTTATTGAATAAAAGAGTGTTTGCCCTTCCATTCTTGTCAGCGTTTTGCTTTTGCTTATCCACCGCTTCGGCGATGGAGTCTTGCACAAAACGGACTACCGTTTCACGAGCCAGTATGAACTCATCTGATGACTCGTTAGCTTCAGTGTGCTGTGAGCGCACTGCAGCGACAACAACCTTTTCTTCAGTGAGGGCTTCCGCACTCTCACTGGGATCATTGTCTTCAGTGAGGGCTTCCGCACTCTCACTGGCATCATCTTCTTCGATATCGATAACATCGATATCGGCATCAAACGCAATGACTTCTTCGTCAGAGCATGATGAGCGTGAACCAATTCGGTTTTTGCTCGCGCGAGTCCCTCCCCCCCTTAAACCAGAGTTACACTCTAGTAAGGTGGGTACACGCGGATGGCGCAAGCCATTCACGTAAAACGGTGTATGTGTCGTGGACGCATGCACCGAGTTGTTGATGGCAAACTCTACCATCGGCAAAAACTCACTCCATCTCTTAAAGGAGTGTACGTATCCTCGAAGTATCTCTTCAAGGACACGATTGGCACGTTCCGTCTGACCATCTGACTCTGGATGATCAGATGTTGACATCTTCAAGCGCGTTCCGAGTGATTTGAACACGGAACGCCAGAAATCAGCAGTGAATCGTGGATCTCTGTCTGATACGAGTTCACGGGGCAACCCATGAAGTCGGAAGATGGTGTCAATAAAGACACAAGCACAGCCACTTGCCGTGATTGTCTCTGGTACAGCCACAAGGTGTACCATTTTGCTGAATCTGTCAACAAATACGAGAATACCCGTATTCCCGCGTGCGTCTTTGGGTAACCCGAAGACGAAATCCATTGAGATGGATTCCCAGCACTCAGCCGGAACCGGTAGAGGCTGTAAAGGTGCACGCAGTGAAGGACTTGACTTCACTCGTTGGAAGACTTCGCATGCGCGAACATACTTTCGCACAAACTGATACTGGCGGGGCCAGTAAAAGTCTCGACTTACCGTGAGATATGTTTTCTCTCGGCCACGATGTCCTCCTATAGGAGCATCGTGATACTCGAACATGATCCGCAAACGCAGATCAGTATCATCTGGAATGACAACACGTGGTGTGTCACCAGAAACGGCTGTATAGTACAGTAAACCGTTACGAGTAGTGTATCGATCTGATGCAGATCGATACGCAGACGACAATAGTTTCAACGATTCTCGAGATGGTTGGGAGAGATGTGACAACAACTTCACTATCTCACCATCTTGGGCGTATGCCCGCCTCACATCATCATACAACGTTGAAGGTGGGACTGAGGACGTCATAACCGCAACAGTGACTGTCTCACTGTTGGGTTTCGCGACTGTTTCAAAGTCGGGACGACGTGAGAGTGCATCAGCGACGACATTAAGTCGTCCTGGTTTGTACTCGACCGTAAAGTTGTATTCTGCAAAGAATGACAACCACCGCGCCATTCGTTGTGAAAGGTGCGGGCTGTTCACTGCCGTGCGTAAGGACGCATGGTCAGTGTAAACAATGAAGGGTCTATCTCCTAATAGATAGACTCTGAACTTCGCGAGTGCATACTTCATGGCAAGGAGTTCCTTGTCATGCACTGGATAGTTCCGCTCAGCTGGTTGCAGCTGACGCGACTGATAGCAGACGACGCGTTCAACGCCTTCAAGGTCGTACTGCATTAATGCACAGCCGATTGCGAAATCGCTGGCATCACAGACCACATGAAATGGCCTGTCCTGATCGGCTATTGCTAGGACTGGGGATTGTATCAAGCTCTGCTTGATACCCTCAAAGGAGCGTTGACATTCAGCGTTCCATAACCACCTCTCGTTCGTTTTCAACAAACGAGAGAGGTGTACAGTCATCTCGGCGTAATTGCGTGAATACTTATGCAAATACGCCGCTAGCTAAGGAATTTTCGAAGACCTTTGACATCGACCGGCACAGGCCAGTCGGTGATCGCCTTGATCTTTTCGGGACCAGGACGTACACCGTTCTTACCAACGATGCACCCAAGAAGTGGTATTTCGCTTGCTGCAAATATACACTTCTTGAGGTTTGCATACAATTGGTGCTTTCGCATGATTGTAAGAACCTGTCGGACGTGGTATCTGTGAACCTCAACGTCCGACTTTCCATCCATAGTCCAACTATGGATGAATACGTCATCGAAAAAACTAGGCGCGAATTCTCGTACTGGTCTCAACAGATGTGATACACATCTTTTGAACGTGGCAGGGGCATTACGAAGCCCTTGTGGCATTACTAACCATTCCCAGAGCATGCCGCTAGGCGTGCTAACTGCGGTATAGGGTATATCCCGTTCTCGCATTAGGATTTGATAGAAGCCATCCATTAAATCCATGGACGAAAAGATCGTACTCTTTGACATACCATCAATGATTACGTCCTTCCTCGGTATCGGCGTTTGAGCCGGTACCGTTGCAGCGGTCAATTTGTTAAATGCATGCACTATCCGCCACCCTCCTGTTGCTTTTCGCACGCAGAAGGTCGGAGAGCTATGTGGAAAGTTGGTTCCCTAACATGGCCCGCAGCTATACGATCGGCAAAGAACTTGTCGATCGCAAGTACTTGTTCACGAGGCAGTGGCCACTGCTTCATGACACAGTACTTCGAGCCTGGTTTAAGTTCGACCTCGTGTCGAATCCCTTTATCCTTCGGTAATTCGCACGGAACAGTTTCAGGGAATACATCCTTGAATTCAACCAAATCTTCATAGAGAGGATTTTCCTTGAGCGATTCCCACGATTGGGAGTCATTTCGCTCAACTCGTGTCTTTTCATCGAGAACACTCTCGTCCATAGATGAACTACTGAGAACTCTCTCGTTCTCAGTAAACACTGTTGCTGACCTTATGTCGGTTACATACTCGTCGTCAGCGACGAGTACGCAGATCTGCTTGACTTTGCCACTACGCAGATCACGCAAGAATCTTTTATGTTCGAGCGTTGGCAACTGAGTGATCTCCGAAGTTAACTTCGGAGGCGCAATCAGATCAAGTATATAAGCGCCTACACATGATCCGTTATTGACTATGACATTCAATGTCTTTGTCATTTCCTGGGGACTTATTCCCTCAGGCTTCGAAGGACTTATTCCTTCGTCTTCCCGGGGACTTATTCCCGCGGGTTTCGGGGAACTCATTTCCGCCGTATTTGTAATCTTGGGACTTATTCCCTTTACTTCCTCTAGCTGGGGTTGCGCAACCACAGCGAGATCCTCTACGAAAGACTCTCCAGTCGATCTAGGATTATCGTTTCGCTTAACCTGAGCGATCGATTGTTTCTCTTCTAGATGTTCCCCTCTAGGGATACATCTTTGTCCCAGTCCACCCGACTTATTCGAGTGGTGGACCTTCGGCGCAGCCTGTGTTTCCTCACAGCCGCCGGAACTTTGCTCCGAAGTGTAACTGTTTGTTACACTAAGGTTTTGTGCAGTCGTACTAACGACCGTACCACAAGTGAGGCCATCACACTCACTCATAGTACATCCACACGCTTGTGGACGCTCCAAAACGTTCATCAGATGGCCATCTGATAAAAATACATTACTGAGCTTAAAATGACTATCTTCTAGTTATTGGTGTCGTACAATATTGTTAGACGCCCCACAATCGACTAGAGCTCGAAGGGACAACTTATTTGCCACTTCGAGTTTGAAGGTAATGAGTGAGACCTCATTACCTAGAGCAGCAACGCACAACGTTTGTGTGTTGGGAGCAACCTTCATCAAGAGGCCTACAAATTCTCTTGGCGTTGCTGGACCAGTAGGGTGCTCCGCACCTACTGATCCTGTCCGTTTTTTTACGGTCCATCCCGTTGTTGCGTCTTTGCACCAACGGCGGACCCTCGTCCCTGCCCCTTTCTCATGGGTGGACGGTCACTACGCCCAGTGTCGCGAGACACTGGACGAGGGGCACTACACTCGTAAGCGTAGTGTCCTGTCTTTTGACATCTGTTGCATCTCTGCAACTTCTTGTAGCCTGTAGAGCGAGCCTTCTCGCTCTCTACATAACAGAGTTCCATCGGCTCTGGACCTCCGTTGTCATATCGTCTCGGTTGACGATATGATGTCGAGCTGGCGCGAGCCTGTCTCAGACTGAAGTCTTCCTGCTCCGCAATTGGAAATGGCTTGTTCTAGTGAATCTAGTTCAAGCCGGAACAGGTGAGTCTTGACGGGACCATCCGCAAGACCCTGCATGAACACCGAAACCAACGTGTGTTCATCCACCGGATTGGAACTTATACAACTCGTGAGATGTCGTATATGTTGAGCGTAAGCGTGCACATCACGCTTACCCTGCTTGAGCTTCAAGAATTCGGTTCGAGCTCTGAACTCAGCTCTAGGCGGTTCAAACGTTTGTCTGAGCCGCGACTTGAAGACTTCCAACGACCCAAACGCATATGGGTCGTGCAGCTTGAGCCCCAGTGCCCAAGTCTTGGCACGTCCTGCCAGATTTGACTGGGCAAATGCAACTTGCATATCCCCGTCGTCGATGCGACGCGCCCTTATGGCGTCATCCAATTCGACGAACCATCTCAAGAGGGAGTCTTCTTCGACCCCCTATACTTTGAGATGTCAATCTTTAAAGTCTCGGGCCGACGCGAGTGCATCGACCCGCCAGCAGCAGCCTGCTGCTGTCTCAACAGTTCAAACTGTTGAGCACCTTGTTCTCTCAACAACTCTGCTTGTTGAGAACCTTGTTGGTGAAGCAAGGCTACTTTCTCGCGTTCTGCGTCAAGTTCATTTTGAATGAACTTGGCGATAGTAACATGTTGGGCATCTCTATTGAGAGCCTCTAGCATGACGCTAACAGCATGGATGCCCATGGTCGAACCCATTCGTTCAACCGCATCCCATTCGACATCGCTCAAATGGGAGTAGCCGTCACGCGTAGCGTGAAAGCTTTGGTCATCTTCATCATCCAACATATCCATGTTGGATGTGAACGCGGTCCTTGGACGGACTACGAAGTGCTACCAGGTGTAACGGGGCACCCTGAAGCTTGTACTGGTGACAGTACAAGCTACTTATTCTGATAACAGAATAAGGCGGTGCCTCGTAACTTCACGTACACTCGTACGTGCAGAGGAAGACGGTAAGAAGAAGCGAGTACTTGGTTAGAGTAAAAGTAGAACTGTATTTATAATAGTTAATGTCTGCAATAAATCACTATTTATCTTCATCTAACTATGTCTAAATACAAATGTGTAAATCAGTTATCTGCTCACCACTCATTGCGTGCGTCTGTCGTGGCGCGTCTTCGTTGGTTGATATAATGGCCTATATCAACCAATTAGGAACTACTTGGAAGTGCTACAGAATATTGTCCTTATGACAATATTCTGAGAATATAACTCTTATAGTTATATTCTATTAACAATTTCTTATAAATTGTTATGTAACGATTCACCCCGTTACATGTAGGCCATTATATCAACCAACAAAGACGCGCCACGACAGACGCACGCAATGAGTGGTGAGCAGATAGTTAATATACACATTTGTATTCAGACATAGTTAGATGAGGATAAACAGCGGTTTATTAACAGACATTAACTATTATAAATACAGGTCTACTTTTTACTATAACCAAGTACTCGCTTCTTCTTACCGTCTTCCTCTGCACGTACGAGTGTACTTGAAGTTACGAGGCACCGCCTTATTCTGTCATCAGAATAAGTAGCTTGTACTGTCACCAGTACAAGCTTCAGGGTGCCCCGTTACACCTGGTAGCACTTCGCAGTCCGTCCAAGGACCACGTTCACATCGAACATGAATATGTTAGATGATGAAGATGACCAAAGCTTTCACGCTGCGCGTGACGGCTACTCCCATTTGAGCGATGTCGAATGGGATGCGGTTGAACGGATGGGGTTCAACCATGAGCATCCATGCTGTTAGCGTCATGCTAGAGGCTCTCAATAGAGATGCCCAACATGCTACTATCGCCAAGTTCATTCAAAATTAACTTGGCGATTTTGAAGTTCATTCAAAATGAACTTGACGCTGAACGCGAGAAAGTAGCCTTGCTTCACCAACAAGGTTCTCAACAAGCAGAGTTGTTGAGTGAACAGGGTGCTCAACAGTTTGAACTGTTGAGACAGCAGCAGGCTGCTGCTGGTGGGTCGATGCACTCGCGTCGACCCGAGACCTTGAAGATTGACATCTCCAAGTATAGGGGAGTCGAAGAGGACTCCCTCTTGAGATGGTTCGTCGAATTGGATGACGCCATAAGGGCGCGTCGCATCGACGACGGGGATATGCAAGTTGCGTTTGCCCAGTCAAATCTGGCAGGACGTGCCAAGACTTGGGCACTGGGGCTCAAGTTGCACGACCCATATGCGTTTGGGTCGTTGTAAGTCTTCAAGTCGCGGCTCAGACAAACGTTTGAACCGCCTAGAGCTGAGTTCAGGGCTCGAACCGAACTCTTGAAGCTCAAACAAGGTAAGCGTGATGTGCACGCTTACGCGCAACATGTACGACATCTCACGAGCTGTATAAGTTCCAACCCGGTGGATGAACACACGTTGGTTTCGGTGTTCATGCAGGGTCTTGCGGATGGTCCCGTCAAGACTCACCTGTTCCGACTTGAATTAGATTCACTAGAACAAGCCATTTCCATTGCGGAACAGGAAGACTTTAGTCTGAGACAGGCTCGCGCCAGCTCGACATCATATCGTCAACCGAGACGATATGACAACGGAGGTCCAGAGCCGATGGAAATCTGCTATGTAGAGAGCGAGAAGGCTCGCTCTACAGGCTACAAGAAGTTGCAGAGATGCAACAGATGTCAAAAGACAGGACACTACGCTTACGAGTGTAGTGCTACTCGTCCAGTGTCTCGCAACACTTAGCGTAGTGACCGTCCACCCATGAGAAAGGGGCAGGGACGCGGGTCCGCCGTTGGTGCAAAGACGCAACAACGGGATGGACCGTCAAAAAACGGACAGGATCAGTAGGTGCGGAGCACCCTACTGGTCCAGCAACGCCAAGAGAATTTGTAGGCCTCTTGATGAAGGTTGCTCCCAACACACAAACGTTGTGCGTTGCTGCTCTAGGTAATGAGGTCTCACTCATTACCTTCAAACTCGAAGTGGCAAATAAGTTGTCCCTTCGAGCTCTAGTCGATTGTGGGGCGTCTAACAATATTGTACGACACCAATAACTAGAAGATAGTCATTTTAAGCTCAGTAAATGTATTTATCAGATGGCCATCTGATGAACGTTTTGGAGCGTCCACAAGCGTGTGGATGTACTATGAGTGAGTGTGATGGCCTCACTTGTGGTACGGTCGTTAGTACGACTGCACAAAACCTTAGTGTAACAAACGGTTACACTTCGGAGCAAAGTTCCGGCGGCTGTGAGGAAACACAGGCTGTGCCGATGGTCCACCACTCGAATAATTCGAGTGTACCGGGACAAAGATGTATCCCTAGCGGGGAACATCTAGAAGAGAAACAATCGATCGCTCAGGTTAAGCGAAACGATAATCCTAGATCGACTGGAGAGTCTTTCGTAGAGGATCTCGCTGTGGTTGCGCAACCCCAGCTAGAGGAAGTAAAGGGAATAATTCCCAAGATTACAAATACGGCGGAAACAAGTTCCCCGAAACCCGAAGGAATAAGTCCCCGGGAAGCCGAAGGAATAAGTCCTTCGAAGCCTGAGGGAATAAGTCCCCAGGAAATGACAAAGACATTGTATGTCATAGTCAATAACGGATCAAGCATAGGCGCTTATACACTTGATCCGATTGCGCCTCCGAAGTTGACTTCGGAGATCAATCAGTTGCCAACGCTCGAACATAAAAGGTTCTTGCGTGATCTGCGTAGTGGCAAAGTCAAGCAGATCTGCGTACTTGTCGCTGACGACGAGTGTGTAGCTGACATAAGGTCAGCAACGGTGTTCACTGAGAACGAGAGAGTTCTCAGTAGTTCATCTATGGACGAGAGTGTTCTCGATGAAAAGACACGAGTTGAGCGAAATGACTCCCAATCGTGGGAATCGCTCAAGACAAATCCTCTGTATGAAGATTTGGTTTAATTCAGGATGTATTCCCTGAAACTGTTCCGTGCGAATTACCGAAGGATAAAGGGATTCGACACGAGGTCGAACTTAAACCAGGCTCGAAGTACTGTGTCATGAAGCAGTGGCCACTGCCTCGTGAACAAGTACTTGCGATCGACAAGTTCTTTGCCGATCGTATAGCTGCGGGCCATGTGAGGGAATCAACTTCCCCACATAGCTCTCCGACCTTCTGTGTGCGAAAAGCAACAGGAGGGTGGCGGATAGTGCATGCATTTAACAAATTGACCGCTGCAACGGTACCGGCTCAGACGCCGATACCGAGGAAGGACGTAATCATTGATGGTATGTCAAAGAGTACCATCTTTTCGTCCATGGATTTAATGGATGGCTTCTATCAAATCCTAATGCGAGAACGGGGTATACCCTATACCACAGTTAGCACGCCTAGCGGCATGCTCTGGGAATGGCTAGTAATGCCACAAGGGCTTAGTAATGCCCCTGCCACGTTCAACAGATGTGTATCACATCTGTTGAGACCAGTACGAGAATTCGCGCCTAGTTTTTTCGATGACGTATTCATCCATAGTTGGACTATGGATGGAAAGTCGGACGTTGAGGTTCACAGATACCACGTCCGACAGGTTCTTACAATCATGCGAAAGCACCAATTGTATGCAAACTTCAAGCATTGTACATTTGCAGCAAGCGAAATACCACTTCTTGGGTACATCGTTGGTAAGAACGGTGTACGTCCTGATCCCGAAAAGATCAAGGCGATCACCGACTGGCCTGTGCCGGTTGATGTCAAAGGTCTTCGAAAATTCCTTGGGCTAGCGGCGTATTTGCACAAGTATTCACGCAATTACGCCAAGATGACTGTACACCTCTCTCATTTGTTGAAAAAGAGCGAGAGGTGGTTATGAAACGCTTAATGTCAGCGCTCCTTTGATAGTATCAAGCAGAGCTTGATACAATCCCCAGTCCTAGCAACAGCCGATCAGGACAGGCCATTTCATGTAGTCTGTGATGCCAGCGATTTCGCAATCGGTTGTGCATTAATGCAGTACGACCTAGATGGCGTAGAACGCGTCGTCTGCTATCAGTCGCGTCATCTGCAACCAGCTGAGCGGGACTATCCAGTGCATGACAAGGAACTCCTTGCCATGAAGTATGCACTCGCGAAGTTCAGAGTCTATCTATTAGGAGATAGACCCTTCATTGTTTACACTGACCATGCGTCATTACGCACGTCAGTGAACAGCCCGCACCTTCCACAACGAATGGCGCGGTGGTTGTCATTCTTTGCAGAATACAACTTTACGGTCGAGTACAAACCAGGACGACTTAATGTCGTCGCTGATGCACTCTCACGTCGGCCCAACTTTGAACCAGTCGTGAAACCCAGCAGTGAGACAGTCACTGTTGCGGTTATGACGTCCTCAGTCCCACCTTCAACGTTGTATGATGATGTGAAGCGGGCATACGCCCAAGATGGTGAGATTGTGAAGTTGTTGACACATCTCTCACAGCCATCCCGAGAATCGTTGAAACGATTGTCGTCTGCGTATCGATCTGCATCAGATCGATACACTACTCGCAACGGTTTACTGTATTATACAGCCGTTACTGGTGACACACCACGTGTTGTCATTCCAGATGATACTGATCTGCGTTTGCGGATCATGTTCAAGTATCACGATGCTCCTATAAGAGGACATCGTGGCCGCGAGAAAACACATCTCGCGGTGAGTCGAGACTTTTACTGGCCCCGCCAGTATCAGTTTGTGCGAAAGTACGTTCGCGCATGCGAAGTCTGTTAACGAGTGAAGTCAAGTCCTTCACTGCGTGCACCTTTACAGCCTCTACCAGTTCCGGCAGAGTGCTGGGAATCCATATCAATGGATTTCGTCTTCGGGTTACCCAAAGACGCACGCGGGAATACGGGTATTCTCGTATTTGTTGACAGATTCAGCAAAATGGTACACCTTGTGGCTGTACCAGAGACAATCACGGCAAGTCGCTGTGCTTGTGTCTTTATTGACACCACTTCCAACTTCATGGGTTGCCCCGTGAACTCGTATCAGACAGAGATCCACGATTCACTGCTGATTTCTGGCGTTCCGTGTTCAAATCACTCGGAACGCTTGAAGATGTCTACATCTGATCATCCAGAGTCAGATGGTCAGACGGAACGTGCCAATCGTGTCCTTGAAGAGATACTTCGAGGATACGTACACTCCTTTAAGAGTTGGAGTGAGTTTTTGCCAATGGTAGAGTTTGCCATTAACAACTCGGTGCATGCGTCCACGACACATACACCGTTTTACGTGAATGGCTTGCGCCATCTGCGTGTACCCACCTTACTAGAGTGTAACTATGGTTTAAGGGGAGGAGGGACTCGCGCGAGCAAAAAACGAGTTGACTCACGCTCATCACGCTCTGACGAAGAGGTCATTGCGTTTGACGCCGATATCGATAACATCAATATCGAAGAAGATGATGCCAGTGAGAGTGCGGAAGCCCTCACTGAAGAAAAGATTGATGTTGCTGCAGTGCACTCACAGCGCACTGAAGCTAACGAGTCATCAGATGAGTTCATACCGGCTCGTGAAACGGTAGTCCGTTTTGTGCAAGACTCCATCGCCGAAGCGGTGGATAAGCAAAAGCAAAACGCAGACAAGAATGGAAGGGCAAACACTCTTTTATTCAATAAAGGTGACTTAGTCCTACTGTCTACGGTTGACCTACCAAAGCATGTAGTGACTAACTTGGGTAGCAGTAAACTACTACCCAAGTACATCGGCCCATTTCGTGTATTGCATCGCCTTGGCAACGCAAACACGATCGAACTGTCACGTAAGATGCGAACGCATCCCACGTTTTACGTTGGTAGGCTTAAGCCGTACCATCAGTACGCTGCTTCTTCCGATGAAGAACGCCCTTGCGCTCAATCATATCACAGAGAGCCTTGTGCTCCCGATGGTGGGCATCAACAAGGGTCTGAAGAGCAGTTATCTCAGCCCGAGACCGGTCAATATCCACACGAGCTACCCTTAACTCGTCACGCAGAGATGTCAAAGCTCTCTCGTTCTCAAGCTGAGCAAAGGCAAACTCAGCTCGATGCTTCAAGACAGTGTCCGCCAGTTGAAGACGCCTGTCCCGCTCATGTTCGGTTTCGTCGCGAAACGCAAGAGTTACGCGATCAAAGAGGATCTCGGAGACACACTCTTCCCCACGATAGTTTGGAGAGAGTTTCCCTCCTCCTCCACCTCCATTAGAGGATTCTCGCTGTGGCCAGCGCTATCTGATTGAGCGGCTGTTGAGCCACCGCGATGTGAACGGACGTCGGACGAGTTGTCTCGTCCGGTGGCGCGTCTATCCCCCGTCCTGGGATTCTTGGGAGCCCCGCTCCCAACTGATGATCGACGTACTGGGTCTGGTTGAGCAGTACGACGCGGCACATCCTGTGCCGCAGAAGGACCGCCGGAGAAAGTCTTCCCGGCACGGTCGTAAAGGGATTTCGGGTTGTCAATCCCTTCTTACATATCACTAGAGATACGTACGCGCCACCACGGGCTATTAAGGAGGTAAGCCTCCTTAGGAGCGCGCGCAGAGTTGTCCACACAACAAGGGTACGGGTCTCCCCAGGAGAGACAGGGTAATCCTTTCTCCCTTGACAGACGATGCAGCTTATAGCGTGCACCTGTCGGGGTTCGCTTTTCAAACTTATCACGAGCTTTGATAAGTTTTTCGTTCCAAGCGTCACGACCTACATCCTCAAGGTTATGGATGTAGGCGTTCCACGCCTGAAGCAGTGAGGGACCATCACGCTTGTGATTCCCACTGTACCATCGATGTCTAAAGAAAGCATCGATGAAGAAACCGTTCTCAGCGCATAGTTTTTCGCGCTGGGGTCAAGGTGATGGATCCTTGACGAATCGAACAATCGTGTTCGATAGCGATCACTTGTCGTCGCCGACAAGCGATCCATGACTGACTCTGGAGGCAGCCATGCCTTCTTTCGGGAGCGAGACGCAAAACACTGCGTTCCCGCTCTTCTTTCGACGTGCCGACAGAAGTACTGGCACCTCGCTGCGAAGCGGTGTCAATAGGATTACCGACACCACTATGAGAGCCCGAGTCTCGCGATTTCGAGCGCCTTCGCATTGGCGATGGTTCATCTGACGAATCAGATGAACCAAAGATGCTACGACGCGTAGCATCATCCATGCCACGCTGGGAAGGCGGATTGGTTTCAATCGCCGTCGATACGGATCCGTCTTCCGTATCTGGAGAGTATGAGACACCGAGCTCATACTCTGTGATGACATGAGTGTCTTCATGACGAGCGCCTGCATCACCAGGTGATACAGGCTGAGACGCTTTAGCAAACGATGACACACCGTTTGCAGCAGTTTCTGCTTCGGCGTCTGCCCAGAGACGGGCAGACGCGCTCTCGGCGGCCTTGCTCGCGCATCACATGGGCTTGTTTACCATGCGATGAAACTGATGGACTGTGGACTCGGACCAACAAGAGCAAACCCAGTCCCAAATGATTTGGGACGAGTATCCATTCAGTCAATCAGTCACTAAAGTGACTGATGGTTAGGGGGGGGTGATGTAATGGGGTGTATCGTTACATAACAATTTATAAGAAATTGTTCATAGAATATAACTATAAGAGTTATATTCTCAGAATATTGTCATAAGGACAAATATTCTGCAGCACTTACGAGTAGTTCCTAATTGGTTGATGTAGGCCATTATATCAACCAACAAAGACGCGCCACGACAGACGCACGCAATGAGTGGTGAGCAGATAGTTAATATACACATTTGTATTCAGACATAGTTAGATGAGGATAAACAGCGGTTTATTAACAGACGTTAACTATGATAAAGACAGTTCTACTTTTTACTTTAACCAAGTACTCGCTTCTTCTTACCGTCATCCTCTGCACGTACGAGTGTACGTGAAGTTCCGAGGCACCGCCTTATTCTGTCATCAGAATAAGTAGCTTGTACTTTCATCAGTATAAGCTTCAGGGTGCCCCGTTACAATATGGTTTTAAAGCGTAAAAACAGAGATAAAATTGCATATGATGTGCACTGCATGTATAAGTAGACTAAACGGAAATAACCTCGACGTTGACATTTTTACCTTCTCATGAGCACCCCTTTACTTAAGTCACGAACACACAATCAAACACATTGCATGTTCCATCTATTAGATAAATTATTTAGCTACAACCTCCATTTCACACGGACACTTATGTTACACTCTCGTCAAGCGAAACGCATAATCGTTTGAGATATGACACGGAGGTACAGAATGTAATACAGACCTAATTCGATTGTTTTAAGTAGAGAAACAGTACAAGGAAAAGGGCGCAACAACCAGTTTGGCAAGCAAATTCGAGTATCAGCTTTGGCAGGAACGAATTCAAATAACAGTTTTGACAGGGTTAATCATGTCAACTCAAATTTTACTGAATTCATGGGGGGCAAATCAATCTTTAAAAAGATATTGACCTCGAGGAAAATGACATTAGATATTGGGTTGTAATTACCTTTTATAATGAAAAGTTGTGAATTAAAAAAAAGGGGTTTAAATGAATCAATCCCCTATCTTTCTCAGCGTTGCGAGGGAGACTATGATGCGCCCCACGTATTGCAAGAAAGACATTCCGCTATACCCAATTGTTATGACTACATTTTGATGCTCCTCTCTCGTGCAAGAACAAATGAAGTTAAAGTTCATAATGTGTTATTACCTGTTTTTGTGCAATCCTGTAACGAAATAGCCCGTTACACGATATTGACACCAAACGGTGTCAATAGGGAGATTGTCTAGCGTGATAATTCCCTTTCAGTATTATCCGAGATGGATGATATTAAAGGAATATTATCCCCTTAGGATGATAAGTATGCGCTGCACAAAGATTGGTTGATAAAAGACATATCGACCAAGGTTACTATAAATCGCTGCTAGACGGGCGTAATGAGTGGTGAGCAGGTTGTCGTCGTAACGACAATGTAGATTAACATAGTTAGATAAAGATTAAAATTACATTGTTAGCTTAACTATACTAAATGCAGTTCTCTTTTTACCTTTACTAAGCTTTGTCGATGAGTAGATTAGCTTCCTCTGCACGTACGAGTGTACGTAAAGTTTCGTGGCATCCCAAACAAAGGGTGCCCCGTTACACCTGGTATCACTTCGTAGTCCGTCCAAAGACTACCTAGTGTCCGTCCAACATGAACATGTTGGACGTAGAATACGACAGCTTTCACGTCACACGTTAAGGCTACTCCCATCTGATTGACTCAGAATGGGAGGTAGTCAGTCGCATGAGTGTGCTCATGGGCGAACCCGCCATCAGTGGTATGTTGGAGTCTATAAGAAGAGACACACAAAATGCTGCTATCAACATGTCCCTACAAGGAAAACCTGCCGTCGAACGGTAGAAGATAGCCTTGCTACAGCAGCAAGGATCCCATCAGTCGATGGGCGGGTCGACGCGTGTGCGTCGGCCCGAAACCTTGAAGATAGATATCTCAAGGTACAAGGGAACCGATGAAGATTACCTTTTGAGATGGTTTGTCGAGTTATACGACGCCATCAGGGCCCGTCACATCGAGGGCGACGAGATGCAAGTCACCTTCGCCCTGTCAAATTTGACAGGACGAGCAACAATTCGGGTATAAGGGCCAACCATCACGACCCAAACGTGTTTGAGTCGTTAGGGGTTTTGAAGTCTCGGATCAAAGAGACCTTTGAGCTGCCGAGAGCCGAGTCCAGAACACGCTCTGCACTCTTGAGGCTCAAGCAAGGTAAGCGTGACGTGCACGCTTACGCACACACCTACGCTACCTTGCGAGTAGCGTTACGGAAAACCTTGTTGATGAGCACACGCTCATCAACGTGTTCATCTACGGCCTTGTGAATGGGACGGTGAAGACCTACATGTTCCAAGAGGATTTCCATACGCTGGATGAGACGATAGTGTATACGGAACAAGAAGACTTCAGCCTGAGACAGCCTGAGACAGTCTCAGACTAACTCGTCAAACTATCGGCCGAAGAGATGACAGGAAACAGGAGGTCCTGAACCAATGGACCTCTGTTATATCGAGAGCGAGAACTCTCGCTCTCTGAGTCACAAGCAAACGGCAAGATGCCGCCGCTGTCAGAAGATTGGACTAAGCTTACGAGTGTAGTGTCCAAAGCACCGCAACACGTCCAAAGACAGGACGTGATGACTATCGTTGGCCAAGGAAAGGTCCAAGGCCTGGGTCCGACCATGTCGCCAAACCGCGACAGCAAGTTGGACCGTCAAAAAACGGTCAGGGTCAGTAGGGGCGGAGCACCCTGCTGATCCAGCAACGTCAAGGATATTTGCGGGACTCTTGACGAAGATTGCTCCCAACAAGCAGTCTCTGTGTGTTACTGCCCTTAGTGATGAGGAGTCTCGCATCAATTTGAAGATCGAAGTGACAAGTGGAATGTCACTTCGCGCCCTAATTGACTGTGGGGCGTCGAACCGTTTCATCCGATGCCAGTTGCTAAGGGATGTTAGTTTCAACTATGTTGAGCGAGAGTTCCCTCCAACGAGGATGACGGTGTGCCTTGATAAAGGCGCATCCGTAACAGTGAATAAACGTGTAGTGGAAATCCACTACACGCTAAAAGAAATGCAGTACGATGGTGACTTTATCGTACTGGATTGGATGACAAATTTGATGTCTTCCTAGGTCTGCCATGGCTCAGAAGATAATAGCCATGGATCAGCTGGCAGCATCGATCCGTAAAGATGCCTGCAGTTTTTTCATCAAATGGCCATCTGATGAACGTCTTGGAGCGTCCACAATCGTGTGGATGTGCTACGAGTGAGTGCGATGGCCTCACTTGTGGTACGTTCGTTTGTACGACTGCGCACAAGATCACAGTGTAGAAGGCCACTGCACTGTGGAACCAGCTTTCGGCACCTGTGTAGAGACACAGGCAGCGACGAAGGTTCACCACTCGAAGAGAGCGAGTGGACTGGAACACGGATGCACACCTAGAAGGGTGCATCCGAGAAGAGAGACTAGTGTCGTTCAGGATGGACAACACATTAAGAGAGATCAAATGTCAGAGAGTCGGTCGTGGAGCAAGCCTGCTCGACTGAAAGAGAGTCGATCAAAGAGGACGTGACCGTGATAGTACCCGTAACAAAAGAAAAATCCGGCGTTCCTGAGAGCAATAACTTCCGAGAGATTATGTCGAGGGTGTGGATCCCCAACCACCTGCGGATGTGTGTTCCCAGGAAATCACCGAGTCAGTTAATGTCTTGGTGAATGACGGACCAAGTGTAGGCGCTTATACACTTGATCTGGTTACACCTCCGAAGTCAGCTTCGGAGGTAGTCAAGTTGCCAACGCTAGAATCTAAAGATTCTTGCGAGATCTGCGTAGTGACAAGATCAAGCAGATCTTCGTACTCGCCACAGAAGACGAGTACGTCGCCAATATTCGGTCGGCACAAGTGTTTACTGAGAACGAACGGGCTCTCAGTAGCTCATTGATGGATGAGAGTGCCCTCGATGAGAAGACCCGGATTGAGCGATACACGTCTCAAACTTGGGATTCTTTAAAGACAAATCCTTTGTATAAGATTTAGTGGATTTCAGGGATATTTTCCCAGAATCCGTGCCGTGCGAGCTACCTAAGGACAAAGGCACTCGGCATGAGATCGAACTGAAACCCGGTTCGAAGTATTGTGTCATGAAGCAGTGGCCACTGCCTCGTGAACAGGTAAGAGAAATCGAAAACTTCTTTGCCGATCGTTTAGCGGCTGGTCATGTGAGTGAATCAACATTCCCACACAGCTCTCCGACGTTCTGCGTGCGAAAGGCCACAGGAGGGTGGCGGATAGTGCATGTGCGTTCAACAAATTGAATGCTGCAACGGTACTGGCTCAAACGCCGATACCAAGGAAGGACGTAATCATAGATGGTATGTCAAAAAGTACCATCTTTTCGTCCATGTATCTGATGGATGGGTTCTATTTGATCCTCATGCGTGAACAGGACATCCCGTACACATCAGTGAGAACCCTTAGTGGTATGCTCGGGGAGTGGCTGGTAATGCCAAGGGGCTAAGTAACGCCCCTGCAACGTTCAATAGATGTATTACGAACCTGTTGCGATCGGTGCGCGATTTTGCACCGAATAAATTCGACGATGACTTCGTCCATAGCCGGGCTATGGATGGAAAGACGGACGTGGTGGTTCATAGAATCCACGTCTGGAAGGTTCTTACCCTTACGCAAGAGCATAAGTAGTTTGCGAACCTCAAGAAGTGTATATTCGCAGCGAGCAAAATACCATTTCTTGGCTGCATCGTGGGTAAAAACGACGTACGCCCTGATCCGGAAAAGGTCAAGGCGATTAGCGACTGGCCTATGCCAGTCGACGTCAAGGGACTTAGAAATTTCCTTTGCTTGGCGGCGTACTTGCACAAATACTCGCGCAACTATGCCGAGATGACCGTTCATCTTTCTCGTCTGTTAAAGAACAACGAGAGGTGGTCATGGAGCGCTGAGTGTCAGCACTCTTTTGAAGGCATCAAGAAAAGCTTGGTGCAATCGTCTTTTTTGGCGATTGTAGATCAGGATAGGCCATTTCATGTGGCCTGTGACGCCAGCGATTTCGCAATCGGCTGCGCATTAATGCAGTATAACTTAGACGGCGATGAGAGCGTTGACTAAAATCAATCACGTCAGCTGCAAGCAGCTGAGCGTAATCATCCGGTTCATGACAAGGAACTCTTTGCCATGAAATGTGCACTGGACAAGTTCTGTGTATATCTCTTAGGTGATAGGCCCTTCATCGTTTATACCGACCATGCGTCGTTATGCACGGCCGTAATCAGTCCACACCTCTTGGAACGAATGGCGAGGTGGCTGTCTTTCTTCGCGGAGTACAACTGCTCCGTCGAGTATAAACCAGGACGACTTAATGTCGTCGCTGATGCTCTTTCGCGTCGGCCCGATTTCGAGCCGACTGCTCAACACAACAGTAGGGGTGATCCCACTGTCGCGACACTAACAGTGAGTGTTCCGTCGTCGAATCTGCTCGATGACCTGCGAAAAGCATACACAGAAGATAAGTCTCTTCTGCGGTTTATGGATTGCGTATCCAATCCGTGTAATCAAGCTTTGAAAAGCTTTTCGTCTCAATACCGCTCTTCAACCGAACGGTATTCTGTCCGTGATGGACTGCTGTACTACACAGCAGTCAACGGCGGCACACCTCGTGTTGTCGTTCCGGCTCAAAATGATTTGCGCTTCATGTATGAGTGTCACAATGCCCCAACAAGTGGACATCGTGGTAGAGAAAAGACTTGCCTCATGGTGAGTCGTGACTTCTACTGGCCCCGCCAGTATGAGTTTGTGGGCAAATGCATTCGCGCTTGCGAAGTTTGTCAACGGGTAAAGCCTAGTCCTGCGCACCCTTACAGCCTCTTCCGATTCCGGCAGAGTATTAACAGTCCGTATCGATGGACTTAGTCTTCGGGTTTTCCAAAGAGCTCACAAGAGTACTGGTATTCTTGTGTTTGTTGATCGGTTCAGCAAGATGGTACATCTTGTTGCTGTACCGGATTCAATCACAGCCCAGGGCTGCGCGCGTGTCTTCATCGATACCATCTTCCGACTTCACGGGTTACCCCTTGAACTCGTGTCTGATCGAGACTCCCGCTTTACAGCGGAGTTAGGCAATCCGTGTTCCGTTCACTTGGAAAACGTTTGACGATGTCGACTTCTGACCATCCAGACCAGATGGTCAGACGGAACGCGTCAACCGCGTTCTCGAAGAGATGCTTCGAGGGTATGTCGACTCGTTTATGAGCTGGAGTGAGTTCTTGCCTATAACGAAAAATTCGCCATCAACAACTCGGTGCATGCGTCGACAACGTATACACCGTTCTTCGTGAATGGCCTGCGCCATCCACGTTTACCCGCCTTCTTAGAGTGTGACTTTAGGTGAAGGGGGGATGGACTCGCTCGATAAAAAAACGATCTGGTTCTTGCTCATCACCCGTCGACAATGGTGTCGACGTGATGGATGCCGATGTCGATGCGATCGGCATCAATGATGATGATGATGACGACGATGATGGCATATTCAGCATCGCCAATGACCGCCAAAGTGAGGACGATGATACCTCGCTGGTGAAGACAACGTTCGTTCAGCAGTGCACACGAAGCGCACTGCTGTTAACAAGGATGAAACAGCAGAAGAATTTCTGCTGACTCGCGAAGCGGTTGTCCGCTTCGTTCAAGACTCTGTTGGAGATGCATTAGACAGACAGAAGAGAAACGCAGACAAACATGGAAGAGCAAATGTTCTTTCATTTGATGAAAGAGACTTAGATTTGCTGTCTACAGTAAATCTACCAAGCCACGTAGTGACAAATGTGGGCAGCAGTAAATTACTGCTCAGGTACATCTGTCCATTTCGTGTGTTGTGCCGAATGGGCAACGCATACACGATTGAACTGCCCCGTAAGATGCGCGCGCATCCTACGTTTTACGTTGGTCGTCTCCGCCCGTACTATCAGTACGAGCCCGTTTCGAGATGCAAAGAACACCTCCACGGTCGAGAGCCGAGACCACCCTCGATTGGTCCCGTTTCAACGAGCCATTCTGGTCGACTAGCGAAGCGACCTGTTCACGCAGCTCAGCGATGTCTCGACGAGCAGCAGCCAGCTCATCACGAAGAGAACGAAGAGAACGTTCGTTCTCAAGCTGTGCGAACGCAAAAGCGGCACGATCGTCCGAACGATCGCGCGTTAGGGAGTTATCAATATCCCTCACAAGATCCTTAAGCCCATAACGCCGAGAATGTTCATGAGCCAGGTCATCTTGCAACTGTTCCGTTAGACGGTTCAGATCTTGAACATCAAGCTGATCCGACCCTTGAGCCGGATCAGGTGTTCCCGCCACCACCACATCCTTTGGTGGACTCAAGCGGTGGTCAAAGCTTCCCAGTGAAGTTTATTTTGAACCACCGCGGCGTAAAGGGCGTCCGGACGAGTTACCTCGTCGTCTGGCGTGGCTATCCACCGGCGTGGGACAGCTGGGAGCCTCGTGCCCAGCTGATTGTTGATGTCCTTGGTCTCGTCGAGCAGTACGACGAGACCCACCCGCTGCGTTTAAAGAAGGGCCGTCGGAAAATGACCTCCCTGAACGCGAGTACAGGGATTGCAAGGTGTCAATCCCTTCGTCCATCTGCCATGTCACAAGAGTTGCGCGTCCTCCAGTAGGGATCATTAGGGAGATAGAACTCCCTAGGAGTACAGTTCGAGTTGTCCAGGCAACCTGGGCACGAATCACCCCACGAGAGACAGGGTAATCCTGCCTCTCTTGAAAGCCGGTGCAACTTGTATCGCGCCCCGACGGGGTTGCGTTTCTCAAACCTGATGCGGGCTGCATCAAGTTTGGCGAGCCAGGCTTCACGGCCAATACACTCGATGTTGTGAATGAGGGCACTCCATCCTTGCACCAAGGCCTTTCCGTCTCGAACACGGCTGCCATTGTACCACCGATGTTTGAAGAACACATCGGTGAAGAATTCTTCCTCAGCACGGATAGTTTCCGTGCTGGAATTAGGAGGACAGATCCTCCTGCAGTCGAACAACGGGATTCGATCCCGTTCAGTGTTCATATCCGCCACTCGATCTAATTTTTTGGATGACGGCATCCAAGGAGACTCCACTTGAGGGGCGTGCCGCAAGACATTGCGGTCCTTGACCTCTTGATTGGTGCCAGCATGAGCACTGGCACCAGTGTTGCCCCGATCCCTTGAATTTCTATTCTCACGGTGCATCAACACCATCCCCACGCGTCCTATCGTCGTATGGACTCATCGGAATAATCACTCGATTCGAAGATCTCGGTCATGGTACCGCCGCGTTGACCAGAGCCAGTTAACCTGGCTCTTGCAGCGTCCGCCTCGGGTGATCCCGAGGCGTGAGGAGTCGCCTTCGAGTCGAATGCATCATTCGACTCGCCAGAATCGATGAGCTCTATCTCAGACTCATTTTGATTACAACTCGTGGTACCCGCTGCAGGCGCAACAGATGTACTTGTCGACGTGGTGACTCACCACATGGAGGCTTCACGACAACAGGCGACGAATCGCCTGCTGGTGAGGCGTGAGAGGCACTTTCCCCGGCCGCACGCATGCGTGCAGCCGCTTTTCTTGCTTCTGCAGTAGCAGCTCGCGTGGTTTTCGAAACCATGCGTTGGATTAGTAAATGAATGGAATTTGACTAACAAGTGCTCCCTTTCCCAGGGTGATCCAATGGTGGTCACCCTGTCCCAATCAATTCTAATTCAATCAACGGGTGATTGATAGTTAAGGGGGGATGATGTAACGGGGTAGCCTGTTACATGAAATTGACACCAAACGGTGTCAAAGGGGATATTGCCTTGCATGACAATATTCTTCCAATTTTACCCGGGACGGATAATATTGAAGGAATATTATCTCCTTGCATATAATATTCATGCGCTGCTCCAAGATTGGTTGATGTAAGACATATCAACCATAAATTACCACAAATCGCTGCTGGACGCGCGCAATGAGTGGTGAGCAGGTTGTCGTCATACGACGACGTAGTTTTATATAGTTAGATAAAGATCAAAGTTATATTGATAACTAAACTATATTAAAAACAGTTCTCTTATAACTTACTTGATTGAGTCGTTCAAGTAGCTTAGCTTCCTCTGGACGTACTAGTGTACGTGAAGTTTTGCGGCACCCCAAACAAAGGGTGCCCCGTTACATTTATCGTGCCAATAATTTTGCTAGCGGGTTCGAATAGTAGCAAAATTCATTCATTTCTGTAAGCAGGATCGCTAACGTCATTGTGCATCCTAATGCTCACACGTTAACTTTTTTTTGCTTAGTTTTTACAGGATGATTCGGAACCATTCAAGACTCTGCCTTTTTCTTCGAGTAGTTCAGATGATCTGGAGCAATGCATCCTTTTGCAGAGGCTGCTCTTTGCCCTTCATGCTAATGATTCGTCTGCCAAATATGCTGAAGTGGTACCCCGGCTCAAAACGGTCCATCGGGTTCGTCCGGACAAAAAACAGCACAACCAAGCCTGCGATTATGATGACGAAGATGTCGACCACCGTTGAAATGTAAGCCTCGCTGATGGAGACTCCGGCAGCAATATTGCTGCTGTAAGCATTGTTAAATGTGATACCGCCGACGACGCCGCCAATCGACCATGCGGTCAGGATTAATCCGTGCATCGCCCCGATATTGAAAGCGCCAAACATGTCGGTTAGGAACGCAGGGATGGTTCCGAACCCTCCGCCATAACACGCCGTCAGTAGAAATATTTCCGCCACAAACGCCGTGTACTGGTTTGTGCGGATCAATGTCGGGGTTGTGCCCACAATGACTGCCTGCAGGATCAACGTCGTGTAGAAGACGCACTTGCGCGCAAACGAGTGCTCAATGTTGCAGTGCCGAGCAACGAGATCCGAGGCCAGCGAGAAAAACAGTCTACCGAAGCAGTTGAAAACGCCGTTGATTGACACGATGTTGGCCGCTTCATCGCCCGATCGGCCGAAGATATCCGTGCACATGTTTGATAGCTTGGACAATACGACCAGTCCGTAGATTTGGTTTGCAAAGAACGTGAGGTACATGCAGAGGAAATCGACGGTCTTTATAGCATTGACAAGCGATAACTTGCGAACTTGGGCGTTCGTGGTGATGATGAAATCGATATCATTCTCGGACACAGCAGACTCGTAGCCATCCTTCAGCTCCATCATATCCGTCTTCATTTCGGCTTCATCGACGATTTCGCCGTGAATGTTGATCCCGCCAACCGTGAACTCGAGGTGAGGCGTGCGCAGTACGATAGCACACAAATACATCGCACCAGCCATTACAGAACCCACGACGAGGAAAGTAGAGGAAACGCCAACGGCTTCAATACACGGCCGATAGACTTTTGCCCATACCACAGCTCCGGCGCCGTACCCTGCGACAGCAAAGCCTGCTGCTGTGCCACGGTAATCCGGGAACCACTTCTGCAGTGCCGATACTGGCGCGATATAGCAAAGACCCATGCCAAAGCCGCAAAACAGTCCGTACCCTACAAAAACTGCACCAATATGCTTAAATGCGAGACCGATAGCCACAATTATATGGCCCGCTAGAAAGAAAGAAGTGCCAAGCACGACACCGTAGCGTGGACCATTGCGCTCAATCCAAGGGCCCATGATGGCGGTGGTTGTGCCAAAAGTGCCAACTGCAATGTAAAACGCGTTTACAGCACAGCCAGCCGCCGCATCGTCGTAAATATGGCTATCAATGGGATGGTTGAACACTGACCACGAGTAGAGGGAGCCAATACAGAACTGCACCACAAAACTCGCCCAAAAGAGGTACCATCGCGAGAAGCGCAGACAGTGTGCCGAGTAGTACCGGTCTTTGCCCGAATAGAAGGTAAAGAGCCATTCTTCGGCATCGTACTGCTCCGGTGAGCAAGGTTTCCGTACCACTGTCCAGTGGTTCGCAATTTTCGCTTGAACTGCTTGGATGCATCCGCTTTTCTTTCCCTTCGTCTGCATGTCGGATAGAGTGGAAAATATCTTCAGTCGGTAAGCTTCAGGCTCAGGGGCCTTAGTTTGTAGCCCGTTGAAAGAGGAATGCACGAACTCCGACAAAACACATTTATTCAGCTACGAAGTTGATCCGTTGTACGAGTCGGTTCTGTGTGCACGTATGTACGCAGATGGCAAAGATACACATTTTCAGCGTGCAGAGAGTACAGAACATAGGACAACGAGTTCTTACCTAGCCTTCGGTTCCTCAAGGTACCAAGCAAGCTCTTCAAGATGAAGTCTAGCGTGAACTGTTGATTAGCTAATGCGTTGATGGCTAGGACGTGAGTTATCACTCTTCATTCCGTACAGCGGGTTTCGCTCAGTGCTACTGACGGATTACATCTGTAGCGGCTTAAGGAGAGAGCTAACTGCAGCTGGTACAATGTTATGGTCGGTTTTATTGGCGTTGCGGCTGTGACGAGTTGCGTGGCAAGCCACCTGCATGGCGCATCCCGCGAGTCAAAAATCGTTGCCGTTATGGACGAGGAAATTCCGGATGTTTAGGCCAATGAATGCATACTCCACTCGTGAGATTTATGTTACCTACAGAAGCACTCTATGTCAACGTGCTGCTGCTCTTTCTTGGCCGGTACTAACGATGCGTTGGGCAATGAGGCAAGGAAATGGCGACGAGCTTAGCAGTAGATGATGTCGTTGCGGTTGCGAAGCGACGATCTTGATGATAGATATGTCCGATTGGTTTTGATACACCCTCTTTCCTCTATCCTGGTTTTCTCCCTCGAGAAGAAAGATATTGCGCAGTGATGTGTTGATTGGAAATGTTGGGCTCGTGTCAAACTTGCCCCTCAGCTAGCCAAGCTAAGTGAAGTTTTGCCGCCGCAACCGCTGAGGTGTCACCATCGCACGTATTACTCAGAATTGTCATCTGCTGTAACGCGAACGCGTGAAACTTAGTAACACGCGCTGCCAAGCGTCGTACAATGGCTTCAAACGGAAGTGAGAGCAAATGTGGCCGCAGCAGTTGGCCCTTCTGTTGCTATCAGATGTCCCAAAAACACAGTTTGACTTGCGTACTTGTTGAATAAGCACGTGCACCCATTGAAGAGTTTAGACAGCGTGATGAGACTGTAGAGTTGGCGCAGTGTGACATGATGCGCACTCGCGAGCCTCAACAAATTTGTGGTACCAAGCTGCGTGAGTTCGCATACGAAGGTGCTCTCTCGGTATCATAAAATGAGCTCGAACTCGCTTGTCAACAGGTGAGTAAGGAGAACAACTCGGCAAGTGTGGCATGGGATTTGTGGCACAAAGACAGTACAGAGCTGCAAAAAGGCTGAATCCCGCGATGAAGTAGGACTGTCCCTTACTTCGTGCCCATGTAGATCAGGTTGCCGACTGGAAACGACCATTTGCAGAGTACCACACCAGTGCGAGAGTAGTGCGCCTAGTTGCACGGCCCAAAATAGCTGCGGTCGTACAAAAGCTGCCGTTCAGTTTGTACACTTAAATGAGTGTGTATTTGATGAAGTAGGGTTGTGGCGCAGCAGCATTCGACAAAAGAGTTGGCACCAATTGTAAAGCAGATGGTAGCACTGAAAATCTTGACTGGTGCTGATGCAGAATCGGGCAAACTGCTCTTGGAAGCTAGGTGTGCTCGTCTATAATCATTTCGTGGGTGTGGTCGTCCAAGGACGTTAACCACACCTCTGAACTTTCTTCTTGGGCTTCGAGTTTGTCTTGCAGGTTTCGACAGACGCTGAATCGGAGTGGGATGACTCGAAGTGTAGCTAAGAATCAAGAGTCAAACCAAAAGATCGAATCGTGTCAATAGCAATGAAGAAATCATGGTGCAGACCTTCCAATTAGCAAACGGTTCAGCTGGTACACTTTGTCAACTGGTGATACCATCACAATTCAGCATGCATTTGTATTTATCATGACGTATCTCGCACGACGTACTTACAATGAATGCGTCGATATCAAGTCAGATGATTGCAATGAACACGTTCGTGTACAGCTTCACTACCGAGATAGGGATAGCCGAGGAGTCACTTTGCGCGAACACTTCGAAGACTAAGCTAGTCTCGAGCAATCTCAACACTATCAAAAAGTAGATGAACAGCAGAGTAGCTGCAGTCTTCATGTCGCCAGGTTTGTGTAGTACTATGGCAAATACTTCGTTCTCTTGCTATAGCAGTTTTGTGTGTTATGGTTCGCAGCCATGTAGTCAAATACAGCGGTCCATGACTCAAAGTGGTCGGCAAAAGCGCTTCAACTGTAAAACGGCATCATGAGTCTTGTTCATGCTTTTGCTTAGCGTTGTGCTATCTTCTGCAAACAGCGCAAAAGTTGCAAGCAGCACCACCTATCACTATCGAGACGTCGACTTCATATCGCAGCTTAAGGGTTGCGCTGGCTACATACAATCACCTTCGGAGCTGCCAAGGGTCAAAGTAGCGCAGCATGAACCCAATGAACGCCCGAGCTCAACTGCATCGATCGACAAGCCGCTAGAGAAATCGAATTGCAATCATACAAAAGCGGCACGATCATACCTTCTCAGGCATCACTCTGCAGCGGACCCTCTTTCTTTGTGGTGGAATCCCGGGGCAATATACTGATCACTCGTCTGTCAAACAACGTGTAGTGATAGCCCCTCTCAAATCGGTCGCGCGGGTTCGTGCGTACCATAAAGATAGCGATACTCGTGATGCAAACTACCACGAGGATCTTGTGAATACCGTCCACGTATGCGTCTTCAGGAGTTTCACCCTTCTCGATAGCCGAGTTGTACTCTGCGTTGAAGCTGAGCCCACCAGCTACGCCACCCAACGACCACGCCGTCAGGATGAAGCCGTGCAGTGCGCCAATATTATACGCACCAAACATGTCAGTCAGGAAGCATGGGATTGTGCCGAATCCGCCTCCGTACGACAATGTGAGCAAGAACACAAGCACGATAAAAGCCGTGTAACTCTCGCTGCGAATCAGTGTTGGGAAGATAGCGATGATCGTGATCTGCGAGGCCAATCCAAAGAAGAAAAGGCACTTGCGCGCAAAAGCGTGCTCGACCTTACATCTGCGCACGATCAGGTCCGAGATGAGAGGAAAGAGTAGCCGACCAACGCAGTTGAAGACACTGTTAATGGACACGATATTGGCACCGTCGTTGGCCGTTTTGTTGAAGAGCGTGGTGCACATGGTCGAAAGCTTGGACAAGACGATAAGACCGTAGAGTTGGTTGCCGAAGAACGCAATGTACAGGAAGATAAAGTCAGGCGACGTGATGGCCTGGATGAGTGTCAACTTCTTCACTCGTGAGTTGGTGTTCTCGTCCGCAATTAAAGTGGTTGTATCCTCGACCTCACGGGCTCTTGGCGTCGTGGCCGGTTCGTACCCACTGACCGACACATCATTATCTTTCTCAAGGCACTGGAAAGTTCCTTGCACTTCGCAAACGACTTCACCGTGCATGTTGAGCCCACAACTTTGAAAGGAACAGTGGGGGTTGCGGAGGCGGACTGCACAGGCGTACAGGGTCACTACCATGACACATCCAATGACGATGAAGAGGTCGGCTACACTAGTTGCATCGATGATCGGGAGGTAAGCCTTGCCCCAGACTACAGACCCAGCACCATAGCCACCGACTGCAAAGCCAGCAGCGGCACCTCGGTGGTCTGGAAACCACTTCTGCAGGGCCGACACGGGTGAAATGTAGCAGAGACCGCTACCGAATCCACAGAAGAGTCCATACCCAATGTAAAGCCCGACGATCGACTTGGCGTGCAGCGAGATGCAGCTGATGATGCACCCGATAAAGAAGGACGTGGCACCTAGCATGACGCCGGCGCGAGGACCATTGCGCTCGATCCACGGACCCATAATGGCCGTTGACGTGCCAAAGACACCCACAGCGATGTAAAAAGCGTTGACCGCCATGCCCTTGTTCTTGTCACCGTAAATGAGCATGTCAATGGGGTTGTTGAGCACGGACCAGGAGTAGAGCGAGCCGATGCAGGATTGCACCATGAAACTAGCAAAGAAGAGGTACCACCGGTTGAAGTTGAACCACGGCAGCGTCATGTATTTGCCAAAGATATAGGCGGTAAGCAGATACTTCTCGGCTGCGTCCTGCTCGTCGGACCGAATTTTTTCGGGCACAGTCCAATGCTCAAGAAGAGCCCCAGTAAGTTTGTCGCCACACGACTTGGCTGGAGGAGCTTCCAGCTGGACGGACTGATCGATCATAGTTTTCTTTAGGAAGAGACAACGAAAGAGAGCAGCTACAGCGATCGAGAAGAAGAAGACACGAATGTCTGACGCTGCTAAGTGAGAAGTGAGAGTGCTGTAACGGTGACTAGTTGTTGTTTTGCGCCATTTCCTTCGTGCTGTGCTTTGAACGCAGCCACGTTGAAGCGAGTGCCCGTTTCTACAGTGGTCGCTCTCATTGAATCAGCTGAACAGGCTGTTGGTGGCTGCCACTTTGCGTATCACGTCCAGATGGGACGGCACATCAACGATCGTTGTTGTTTCATGAATGATTCTACTATCAATAACTTCACTCGCTCCTCACTAACGTCAAGTAGGCTGTTACATATCGACCATTACTTCAAAGGCTGTGTTGTTGGTACGAAAGCTAAGCATTAGTTCGCATCTACACAGCAGATGAAGATAGAGAGATACCAACTACTTAGATATCTGTGCGAGGGTCGACACGACCTTGTAGCAACACGAACTTGTTGCGACACCAACTTGTTGCGTTATGTTAATCTGTGGTCAGTTCTTGATACGGACAGTTTAGTGGACGGATGCAACGGAGCAGAGAGAGGCCAACATCGCTACATCGCAAACCGGCTCCTACGAGGTACTTCAACGACAAAATAAGCGGCGGGTGACGGGAACGATACGATAGATTAATGTAAAGCAGAACGTGCTACATGAGTACGCATTATCAACAGCATGGCGTATCTACTCCTCGGAACTGACCACATTGCAAAGCAATTACAATGATCCAGATTGCATGTAGAGCCTGCGCTTGATGAATTGACACGGTTTGAAATAGGGACAACACTTCATTTCGACGGTGTATCGGTCCGGTCATCGACATCTGATGAGCCTTTTCACGTCACAAGATTCCGTGTCGAGCGTGAGTAATTCATCGTTACGTCAGGAGCGTTAGAAACTAGCCCGAATAGGGAGCCAAAGGAGCAACGAATGCATTTAAGGAACGAGCAGGTGCGTGAATGAATCATCTTGATCAGTGTGGTGCCAGTAAAAATACATCTAACACTCCTCGGACAATTGCTTCGTATCTGTTTGGCCTGGAAAGATAAACAGAATGTTGAGTAGTGCGTGCGCTTAGGCGAGAGGTTGCATTTGGACGTCTGTTTGCGGAAGTGGCTCAAGTGGTATTGGTCATGGAACAAACGTACTTTGTCTTTGTGAATAAGTATCGGTTGCATTTCTTCTTGTTCGTTCGTGCTTCATGTGACAGGTTGTTTGTACGGGACGTAGAGAATCTACTGTACCTTAAATCGAGGCTGATGGGTTTCAATGGTCACAAGATTTGGTGCATAGGTTCAAACGATACGTTGTCGCACAGTGTAAAGAGCATAACCGTTGCCATCCATACTCTGAAATAATCGATAGCAGAGACCTGCATGACTACGTTGCTATTCGTACTATTAAATACTCGCTAGCAGAGACCTACATGGATACCCATACCCACTACCTATCCTCACCCACTCGAGCCTTGTGTATCATGGTGGAAAGTAGAACTTTTAAGCCATGCACATGGATTTAGGGGTGGGTGGTGGGAAGTTAATTTAAAACAGTTAGAGTGAGCTTGAAAGGTGAAGCTATTAGTGACTGTGCGCAAGGTAAATGCCGAATTTTTTTCTAGATCGCACTGATCCGTTTGAATCCGTGTGTGTAAAAACACATGTGTACCTTACACGTCGTATTGTGTGTGCTCTAGCCTGGCTCCTCCTCATAGGTATGTAAAAGCCCACCACGAGCAAAGTGAAAGCACTGCTCCTGTACATATAGAGGAGCTCTAATCGATTTTTGCAGGGAGAGCACGAGATGCTCGTTCTCAGCAGATCTGACTGGCGTCGATTATAATTTTTTTTAACTTAACGTTAGTTTTGCTTTACTTATCCGAATGTTTGCAAGTACACACAAAACTTTGGATATCCAAGTAGTCACCTTAAATTCAACTCGACAAAGAATGATGATTCTTGCCCGGGTATAGATTGCCGCTCAAGAAGCAGCAGGATCAATTAATGATTTTATAGATATGGGCACTGCAATAGTCACGCACTTTGCGGAAAGGGGTCACACAAGCGGTTCGTATAACTGGCATGGTGTCGTGTGATCACACACAGGGTCATCAGAGAATTTGATAGGCGTATCATTGTACACAATACGCTAAGCGGTAATACCGTACCTTGTCAATTAAGTTTAAAAAGTACGTATCGTGATAGATATTCTAAGAAAGTCGTTGTTCTGGTGTATCGACACCAGATGATCAATATATTAGAAATCCTAGACCAGGTAATATGTGTCAAAGCTTAAATACGTAGATGAGTTTTATTAGCACTGTAAAGTGGTAAACGAATTCAAATTTTCTTTGAACAGATTCTGATACGTGTCTTTCTAAGGTTTCTCTGGTCGTAAGAGTTAAGTGCCTGTGATAAGGCTAGTACACTTGCGCATCGGTGCCACGTGATTCCTTAGAGTTGTAGTCCCTTGGACCATGACTAGAAGCTAAAGGGCTCCTTTGATTACCTTGAGTTATGTCTCATAAAGTCTGTAAGTACTTGAGACGCTTTAAGTTTACACCCGTTTTGTTTTAAATCTAAGAGCCTCTGCGAGTTTATAAGTCTGCATTTGGCGAAATAAAAAGGGTAGCTCTGCTACACCTGGTAGCATTACTTGATAGCACTTGTAGTCAACATAAACTTGAGTCTACTAAGAATGTGACTGTGTAAGGATGGAGAACACGTTCAATCTTTCCGAGGCCTAACAACTGGAGCTGGAGAAACTTAGAGCGCTATTTGGGAATGAACAAGCGGATGTAATCCTTTCACAAATTCCTGACGCAATTCGTGCACGTTCTTGACGCTTTCATGCAGTTTAAGCTCACTCTAAATTGGACAATTACACGACCGTTTGGCATCGGATTTGCCTACTCGGTATGTTTCAATTTCGAAAGATGAGCCCAAAGCTCGCTAACTTGTCGTGAGCGTAAAACATTTGAGGGAAAGGAGATAGATAATCTCATTTTGTGGATCAGAGAGGTGGAAACGGCTATGAGTTTTAATCAGAACAAAAGTGCGCTTGGCTTTTTATTATTAAACTAGGTGGTTGAGCCAGAGAGTAGACTCTTACGTGTAGCACACCTGCATACGATGCTTTCCCACAAGGAATTTAGTAAGACAGCAATTATCTAGGGTGTATGCTCCCTAAATCAGTCATATGACGTGCGTTCTCTCCCCTTATCTGCCTGCAAGAGAAAAAAGAACTGTCGGACTTTGTTTTGGATCTGAAAACTCTGGTTCCTGCCACACAGCTTGATCCCAAAACAGAAAGGGTACTGGTAGCCATCATCATGGAGGTTGTATTGGTATTGGAATAGCTAGAACGAAAGCATTTCGTGTCCGCTCCACCTCCTTCGAGGCGGCTGTGGATGTTACGTTGAACGCTGAATACAATCTAAAACACTTTGCTTTGGCACTCATAGGTACAAACCAAACTCGGTCAACCCATTCAGTCTATCATAGCGGCAAGAGCCTACAGACCTCAGTCTCGCCTATAAGGACTAGAGCTTTGTGCTGCAAACCAGCTTTGATGTATTCGACCGAGTTTAACGCACAGAAGCTCAAGACAAATTCGTCTTAATTGTACGTTACGTAAGGACCGCTAGGCGTCTTCGATTGGGTATCCCGTCACTAAATCGAAGTCTAGTACGTCTCAGGAATTGTTGACTCAGAGTAGGCGCGGGGCGCCTTGATGGTGAAGTGCTATGGTTGTGGAGTCTCCAAGTGTTAGTGGTAAGCAAAAAAAAAACCTTTAATCGTTCCGAGCACTATAGCACGAGAAGAGATTACACACCAGGCTTGTAGGTCGCGAAAGCGGATGTTTAGGGCGTTTCGAAGCCCTGGTCAATTTTAATCTACTCTGGTGCATCCGTGTTTATGTCACCACTGTTTCCTCGAGGAGAATCGACGGCATTCTGAAGCGCTTCACGCGCAAATGGTGATACGGTCACTGTTCGATTAAAGACAGTGCCTTTTTTACTTGGTTAAAGTTTTTGTGAACTTAACATGAATTTTCCGCTTTTGACAGTAAAGAACGCCGTTTATTCCTTTATTTGTACTCGAGATATGATCTCGTTCTTGTTATGGCCTGGCTTGAGCGCTACGAACCATGTATCATTGGAGGTAAAAACACTAGGCGCAACGTGCACTGCCTAAAGCTTTGGGGCGTCATGAACTCACCTCAACTAGAGATCATGAGCGCATTTTGCGCTATCCATTGGAGGATTCTGTCCGTATGCTAGACATCGTAATGTCAGAACTAGCATCTTCTGATGATGCCAAAGACACTGGTATCAAGCAAAGATCATTATTTATTATTGATACTGCACGTACTCCCTTTCGTTGTTATCGCTGTAAGAATGACTCACTGAATACTGAAAGCACTATTGACCAAGCGTCAAGTCATTGAGGGTTAGACCCATCAAATGAGCGTGGAGTGGCACGTAGGTACCAACTGATTGACGTTGGCTGCGGTATTAACGCGCTGAATGTTAAGTGTGACGTTTTTGGTGAAACTACAAGGTATCCTGAGTCTATCTCAGCGGATGACCATCGGAGTGGTGCGTATCCCACGTGATGGCGATTTCGAGTTTCATGACTCGTCGTTCGATGTCATTAGTGACGTGATCTTTAGTGTAGAGCAAGTTATGACTATTGATGACGTTAATCAGGAAAAGACGCCTACGTAGACCTCTCCGTTTAGGCGTTCATGATTGTCATTTAGTGGCTACGACGAGCCTGAAAAAAGGTTTGCTCATCTAAAAATGATTGTGACTTTTAACTATATACACTTGTTAATAGAGTGACCGGTACATGTGATGGAAGCTTAGCCTTGAGAATCTACCCTCGTTAGGCGCTATTCTGAAAATTGAAGAGTTCTCAGTCTATGTTCTTAGTCTTTACTAAAAAATTGAGACCTTTCAGAAGTGATGTCCATTCGACCTGAATTCAAAGATTTAAACCTATTTCGCTACCGGATGAAGCAGTTCTAGAGGACTCAAAAACGGCACTCAGTGCGCGTAGTGGATCATCGTATTATTAATGTTTTCTTGATCCCTTTTAATTAGTTTGGTCAAGGAATTTAAGATGTCGTGAGTCACGACCCACCGTGTAATTAACCTCCAGATATAGGTTTTCGCTATGAAAATGACTTATTTCCTCGGACTGGAAATGTGGTACACGACAGTGGCCCTTGCCAACATAAAAATAATACTTCACTAATATTTTTTGTGCCAAGAACATTGCAGAAATGGTTAGTAAGACTAAATGTCCACATTCGACACCGACGTTTTGTGTCAAAAATACGGACGCAAAGCGGTGAATTGCGCATGCTTAGAACAAGCTTGATGCGGTTACCCTTCCAGCACAGACAACCATTCCGAGAAAGGATGTTTCTTAAAACAACGTGGTTGGTTGTACTAAGTACAGAGCACTTGTAACGGGGTTGCACGAAATTATGGTACGCTGTACCAGGGGTGTTACACACCTGAGGTTATCCCTTTGTGAAGGTGATATCGAATATCTTATTGGTTTGTAGGGGCTGACGCGTGTCAGCCATTAGGTACGAAAGATCTTTGAGTAGGATTAAGATATTCTATAGGCTTTAACAAAATGAAATCAGTTCCCATTTTGATCTGAAGGACACGTGGCTTGCGAGCCGTCTTGATCGTTGATCACTGATCACTAAGAGCTAGCGACACCTCCTTGAGGTAGCTACTCTTGAGCACTGAGTGCTGTCGATTCACTGAATCGTTAGGTCCCCCTGGAACAGGGATCTGAAGCTGTAAAGCTTGTTGACTCGTAAAGTCGTTAGTTCTTTGGAACTAAGTTGCTCGTAGAGCGTTAAGTCTTCCTCTGACTTAAGGGGCTGTGTAGCTCCGCTACACTTGGTAGCACTTGTAGTCAATCTACACCTGAGTCTTTAAGACTGATCCTCTGTGGGGATGGAAAACTCCACTCCCCTATCTGATGCCCAAAAGGTCGCGCTTGATAAGCTGACCGCATCTTTGGGTCCAGAGTGCGTGGAGTTCCTTGTTTCACAAGGTCCTGAAGTGCTTAATGCACGTGTTGAAAGCTTCATGCAGTATGGAGCGACCCTTTTAGGGCAGGTCCAAGACCAAATAGCGTCGGCTATGCCTACACGCTACGTGTCTGTACCAGACGAAGAGGCTAAGCCTCGTCCACTTAGAGTGGAAGTAAAAAACTACTCCGGTAAGGAGGGTGAGAACTTCATCCTCTGGATCCGTGAGATCGAGATGGCCATGAGATCAGGTCTGATCACGCTTGACCATCAACAGGTCTCGCTGGCTATCTCGAAGCTCGATGGTAGAGCTAGAGAATGGGCCTTGACGTGTAGCACGTCGGTGGACATAGCGTTTCCCACATGGGAGTCGCTCAAGTCACAATTGGTACAGGTGTTCTCACCACCTAACCAGGCTTACCGCGTGAGTTCACGCTTTCTTTCTACCCGCCAGGGTAAAAATGAATTATCGGACTATGTCCAAGAGCTGCGAACGCTCATGGCTGCAATGCAGTCTGACCCTCTGCCTGAAGCAGTCCATGTGACTATCTTCATGGAAGGTCTACGTACTGGCATTGCCAGAACCGAGGTTTTTCGGGTTCACCCCTCTACGTTTGAAGAGGCTGTGAGAATTGCTCTTAATGCTGAGCATAACTTCAAGTCGGCCAGACTTGGTTGGAATGGATTCAATCCTCGCTCTGTGAGAGCAAACTATTCGGGTACCCCTGCCTATAATAGGCCGGAACCGATGGATCTCAGCTATGCTGAAAAAGAAGGTGAAGCTGAGCTTCAAGCTGCTGAGCAGCAACACTTCGTACAACGATGCTGTACGTGCGGAAGCACTAAACACTTGCGGCCTGGTTGCCTTTTGCGTAAGCAACGCCAGGCTACGAGCCAACACTCGACCCCGAGTCAGAAGTCTGTCATGGCACGGGGAAATGCCGACACCCAGTAGGCGCGGGGCGCCCTACTGGGGAAGAACTATGTTCTGTTACACCTTTAAAGGTAAAGGAATGCAGGGCTTAGCCCCAAAGAGTACCATACCTACAGGTATGGTGCGTGGATACAAGTCTGGCTTGTTGGTCGCCGAGGCGAAAATTAAGGGCTTTGAGAAGCCTTGGTCGATATTGATCGATTCTGGAGCGTCTTGCAATTATGCTCGACGCCGTTCCCTGGAGGGAAGTCAGCGTTATACTGAGGCGCTTACAGCGCATGAGGGTGATTCTGTCACGGTTCGTTTAGCGACTGGAAGTCGCGTAACTGTGCCTAAAGTTACATTGAACTTAAATAGAAAGTTTTTAGACTTTGACAGTATTGAGCGCTGTCTTGTCCTAGATTTGGACTCGAGATATGATGTCATCCTAGGTATGGCTTGGCTTGAGCGCCATGAGCCCTGGATTGATTGGAGGTCCAAGACCTTAGGCGCTACGCGCAATGTTCCTGGCGAAGCTTTGGAGAGTCATGAACCCACCTTCGCTAGGCAAGAAAAACGCTACTGGCGCGAGCCTTTGACAGAAGATGTCAATGTGCTGGATATTGGAATGTCTGAGTTATCTAACTCCAATGTTACAAACATAGTTTTCGAGCTTAGCTCGTCTAGTGAAACGGCACGTACTCCGTTGAGTGTTACTCGTTGTGATAACGAGTCACTGCATGCTGAAAGCATGGTTGGCCTAGGGCCGAGTGATCAAGGATGTGATTCATTTGATGTGTGTATGGTGGCACGTGAAACTACACCGAGTGCGGTCGGCCGTGAGAGCACCGCACTGAATGTCGGTAATGACATTTTTGGCGATACGCCATTTAGTGTGAACGGCCTTGAAGGCACCACGCTTAACGTCGGTAATGGCGTTGTTGGCGATTCGCCATATAGTGTGGGCGGCCGTGAGGGAACCACACCTAATGTCAATAATGATATTGTTGGCGATACGCCGTTTAGTGTGGACGGCCGTGAGGGCACCACGCTTAACGCCGGTAATGGCAGTGTTGGCGATACGCCGTATAGTGTGGGCGGCCGTGAGGGCACCACACCTAATGTCAGTAATGATACTGTTGGCGATACGCCGTATAGTGTGGACGGCCGTGAGGGCACCACACCTAATGTCGGTCAAGACAAAAGCTCTCGTATAGAGCGTAATATGGTTGGTAGTAACCATGGGGACAATATTGTCCCGACCCCTAAGGGGTGTAAGGTCTCGAAGAGACGATCGAGACGCCGGGTAGCTACTTTTAAGCGCCAGGCGTCCTCACAGTCACATAGTGATAATAGTAATACACTATATACACTTGTTCATGGAGTGACTGGTCGGGTTGATGGCAATGTGAGCCTCGAAACCCTTCCATCTGTGGACGCTCTTTGTGAGCTAGACGAAATGTCGGATGGAGAGTTTAGCCAGGCCTTAAAGACAGGAGAGTTATCCGAGTTAGCGGTTATTAGACCTGATACTGAGTTGAATTCTTCCTCGTTAATGGATGAGTCTGTCCTAGAGGATACAAAGGCGGCACTCAGTGCACGAAGTGGATCTTCGATCCTTAAAGATCCTTTGAATCCGTTCTATCCTTTAGTTAAGGAATTTCAAGATGTGGTGTGTCACAACCCACCTTCTGCCTTACCTCCCGATAGAGGTGTACGTCATGAGATTGATTTGGTTCCTGGAACTAAATACTGTGTAACACGGCAGTGGCCTTTGCCTAAAAAACAGTGTGACGTCATTGACGAATTCTTTCGTGCTGAGCACGCGGCTGGAATGGTTCGTGAGAGTAAGTCTCCCCATTCAACACCGACATTTTGTGTCAAAAAGCCAAATGGCAAGTGGCGTATTGTGCATGCTTATAATAAGCTTAATGCAGCCACTCTACCGGCGCAGACGCCTATTCCTAGAAAGGATGTTCTTCAGAACAAGATGGCAGGATGTACATTGTACAGTGCACTCGACTTAGTCGACGGTTATTACCAACTGCTCATGCGAGCAAGTGATATTCCGCTAACAGCGGTGAGTACTCCGAGCGGTATGCTCTGGGAGTGGCTCGTTATGCCACAAGGGCTATCTAACGCCCCGGCTACATTTAACCGGTTGGTAACGCAACTATTCAGACCTCATCGAGGCTATGCACAAACGTACTTTGATGACATTTTTGTCCATAGTCGTGCAATGAATGGGCGATCAGATGTGGATAACCACATCGATCATTTACGAGCGGTGCTCAAGTGTATGCGAACGAATAAGTTGTATGCGAGCGCATCGAAGTGCATCTTTGGTGCAGAAGAGATTCCCTTTCTAGGGTGCTTCATTGGGAAGCGAGGCCTTCGAGCGGATCCCGCTAAGGTAAAAGCCATAGTCGATTGGCCAGTCCCCAAGAACCAAAAGGACTTGCGTAAGTGGCTTGGCCTTGCCAATTACTTACATAAGTACAGTGCGAATTACGCAGATATGGCTCGGCCATTGTCCAATCTTCTTAAAAAGGATGTGGATTGGTGTTGGAGTACCACCGAACATGATGCGTTTGAAGCAGTTAAGGAAAGTCTCCTTCATGCGCCAATATTGGCTTTGCCCGATCCTGATCGGCCTTTCAGTGTCGTCTGTGACGCATCTGACTTTGCCATAGGCAGTGCTCTGTTACAAACAGATGTCGATGGACGCGAACGCGTCATCGCATTTGAGTCTCGACAGCTGAAAGCTGCCGAAAAGAACTATCCAGTTCATGACAAAGAGCTACTTGCTATAAAGTACGCTCTAGTCAAATTCAGAGTACTTCTGCTTGGCTCAAAGCCGTTTGTGGTCTATACAGATCATGCGTCATTACGCACTGCGACACAGTCGCCTCATCTCTCACAGAGAATGGCTCGTTGGCTTTCCTTCTTTGCCGAATATAACTTCGAGGTGAAGTACAAGCCAGGTAAGCAAAACGCTTTGGCTGATGCGCTATCGCGTCGACCTGACTATGAGCTTGCTCATGTTACGACTCTGTCGTCGTCGGTCACTGACTTAATCCGTGCGGCATATGCCAAGGATGAACAGTGTGTAGCTTTGCTACGGGCTCTTGGGAGCGATGAGTTTAAAGACTCGGAAATAGAATTGTCGGCACGTTTACGTGCGAGGCTACATCGATATTCCATCGTTAATGGCCTGTTGTGCTATCGCACGGATATTGACAACAACCCTCGTATCGTTGTACCTCATGATGAGATAAAGTATCTAATCCTCTATGAGGCACTTGATACTGCTTTAAGTGGTCATCTCGGTCGTGAGAAGACTTATAGCTCGGTGAGCCAAAGTTATTGGTGGCCCAAACTTTATAGGTGGGTACGCACCTATGTGCGTACGTGCAAAACGTGTCAACGGGTAAAACCCTCGGCACATGCGGCGGCGCCGCTGGCTAGTTTGCCAGTACCCACTGGTTGTTGAGAGTCCATGAGCATGGATTTTGTGTTTGGCCTACCGAAAGATTAGGAAGGCAACACTGGTATTGTGGTCTTTGTTGACCGATTGAGCAAGATGGCTCACTTAGCGGCTGTGCCGGATAGCATCGATGCTGAAGGTACAGCAAAGCTGTTTATCGACCGTGTGTTTCGCCAACATAGCTTGCCTGTGTCAATTATCTCTGATAGAGACCCCCGCTTCACTGGGAAATTTTGGAAGTCTATCTTCAAGGTGCTTGGCACTCGGTTGGACATGTCCACAGCGGATCATCCGCAGACCCACGGTCAATCTGAGCGCGTAAACCGCGTCATCAACGATATTTTGCTCAATATTTGCGCTGATACCTCTAGGCGTTGGAGCTCAATGCTCCCTGTTGTTGAGTTTGCGTTGAATAACGCTGTTCATGCCTCAACAGGCTTTACTCCGTTCTATATAAACGGTCTCAACCACCCTCGCGTTCCGTTAACGCTATCACTACGTGAATCAGGGCTTGGGGGGGAGAGGTTGCCGATCGGCTTGCTGATATCAGCCCTGCTACTGTCCAAAAACAGGTAAGCGAGTTTCTCGCAACGCGATTAAATGTCTTAAGACATGTGCGTGACGCAATGACTGATAGCCAAGATATCCAAAAACAACAAGCTGATATTAAAGGCAGAAATTGTATTGAACGTTATGAGGTCGGAGACCAAGTACTACTCAATGCTAAAAATCTACCTACAAATGTAGTGTCTGCTGTCTTTAAGACGAAGTTGCGTCCACGCTTTATTGGACCGTTTACGGTCACGGCCAAGAAGGGACTTGCGTATACGCTAAACCTTCCGCGCAAATTGCGCACACATCCAGTGTTCTACGTAGGCTTACTTAAGCCGTACCGGGATCCTTCCCATGTGAACTTGGAGGCGCTTGCGCCGACGACAAGGGCACTGCCCCGGATTGCTGTAGACGAATCAGCAAGTCCAACTGAGCCTCGCTCCGAGTTTGAGCTTGCTCCATCGCCTGAAGGCGGCTTTGCATCGCATCCAGCATGCACTGGGACTTACCCAAGGCCTCTTGAAGACCCTTCACTTCGAGAACCAATTTCTCGTGGGCCTCCACCGGTACACCGGCCGCCACCGACTTTGCTCGATGAGCATGGGTGTCGTCAATTTGATGTCGAGAGACTACTGAAACGACGTCGTCGTCATGGTCACTAAATACCAGTATCTGGTAAAGTGGCGTGGGTACTTTGATTCTGAAAACTCATGGGAATTTGAGGTACCCCTTCGACAAGACTGCCCATATGCTTTGGAGGCTTTTGAGCATCGTGGCCATGGTCGTCTCGAGGCCGAGGCCGTTCCCCACCACTAGTGGTGCGGGTTGGCGGGTTGTTGGCCACAGACTGACCATCACTCGCGGCTACCTTAGCAGCCGAAGCATAGCGCGTGCGCTTGCGCAATTGGCCTCTGGCCTTAAGCTTGGCATAATCATACCGAAGCTTGCGTTCAAGACGCACGTCAGCCACACTGGCACTAGCCCTTAGATCAAAAATGTTGCTGAGGCGACGCAAAAGTGCACCCAGTGAACAAAGGCATCGTCTTCTTCGCTCACTGTTTCGCCTGCGAACAAGAGAATGGGTATACCCTTGATCGGTGGAACCGGTGTAATACGCGCTTGCATGTCAAGGCGTGCCTTGTATTGACTTTGAGTCGTTAAATGCGGCATCAGGTACCTCTCGCAAAGTGCCTGGCAGCTCACAACCTCCCCAGGAGTCTTAGGCCCATGGCCAATGACCCACGTTGCCAATGTTTGGCCGGCCGCTTGACGTAGACGTTCCTCCACACTGGGTGGGGTGAACACATAGTCACGCTGGCGTTCAAGGGTTGTAGCCATTTGTACATGACGCTGAGCGTTTTCTTCTCTTTGAACAAGCAGTTGTTGTTGCTCATCGAGCGGGTTCGTGATGATAGTCTCATCAGACCCAGACGCTGCATACTGCGCTGGTGGCGCGCTCGCACCTCCACGTTCAGCGAACGGATTTGGGGTGTTCGAAAGTTGTGCCTCAGGCATCAGTGAGCCGGAAATTGTCCCTGTATCACCGCGGACACTGGTATCGCTACCATAGTCCACCTCCTCCTCTATCCCGAGGTAGTCACACAGAGCCTTTGAATCGTTTGGTAATGAGGACATCGTGCTGGAGCGTACGTTACCGTGAGGTTCACCGCACGCGCACTGTTCTCGCTGAGAAAACAAGTTTGATTGACGTTTTGGCAAACGTCAGTCTGGTGGGGGAGGGTGTAACGGGGTTGCACAAAATTATGGTACGTTGTACCAGGGGTGTTACACACCTGAGGTTATCCCTTTGTGAAGGTGATATCGAATATCTTATTGGTTTGTAGGGGCTGACGCGTGTCAGCCATTAGGTACGAAAGATCTTTGAGTAGGATTAAGATATTCTATAGGCTTTAACAAAATGAAATCAGTTCCCATTTTGATCTGAAGGACACGTGGCTTGCGAGCCGTCTTGATCGTTGATCACTGATCACTAAGAGCTAGCGACACCTCCTTGAGGTAGCTACTCTTGAGCACTGAGTGCTGTCGATTCACTGAATCGTTAGGTCCCCCTGGAACAGGGATCTGAAGCTGTAAAGCTTGTTGACTCGTAAAGTCGTTAGTTCTTTGGAACTAAGTTGCTCGTAGAGCGTTAAGTCTTCCTCTGACTTAAGGGGCTGTGTAGCTCAGCTACAGCACTCGTTTCAGTCTATGAATACAACCAATCGCTCATGTGAGCGAGTGATATTCCGCTTACAGCAGTGAGCATTTCGATGTATATGCTCTGGCAATGGCAGATGACGCCTCAAAGGCTGTTGAATGCGCCAACTACGTTTCATCGTCTGGTGACGCAACCGTTCCGCCCCAAACGGGTTTATGTATCGATTTACTTTGTATGACACTTTATCTATAGTCGTGCCTTAAAGTGTCGTCCAGATGTTTCCAATAACATTGGTCGTCTGCGATCCGTGCTTGAGTGTATGCGCTAGAATAAACTGTTCACAAAAGTGGATTAACAGCACGTTCGATGCAGCGAGAATTCCTTTTAGGACTTTCATTGGATGTAGCACCCTTAGAGCAGATCCCGCTAAGTACATGGCTACAATTGACTTGCTGGTTCCTAAGAATTAAAAGTACTTCCGTAACTAAATTGGAATTGACAATTGCTTACGCAGATACAGCATAAATTTCACTAATATTCATCGCCCGTTTACTGAACTAATTTAGAAACACACATACTGTCACTGGGAAAGACCGGTGATGACGCATTTTGGGCGGCAAAAGAGAATCTATTTCAAGCATCCATTTAGCGTTGTCAACTCCGTAGTACCATTATTTGTCGTCTGTGACGCATCCAAATATGCTATAGGCAGCGTCCTATGCATATGTTGATGCCGCAAGCGTTTGATCGCATTTTAATCTCGTCAGCTGAAAGCTGCTAAGAACAGCTATCCAGTTCTTGACACGGAGTAACTCTCCATGTAGTATGCTCTCGATAAATTTCGAGTCTGCCCGCCTGGGTCCAAGCCATTCATTTTCTTTCATGCTTTCTTACGCACGGCAAAATAGTCGCGTTACCTCTCTCAATAAGCGGCTCGTATTATCTCCTTCTTTGCGGAATTATATTTCGCAAAGAAGAAAACTCCACGAGCCGTAATCGATTTTGCAAAGATAAAAATTCAACGAGCCGTTTTCTGAGAGCGATAACGCGACTGTTTTACCGCGCGTAAGGAAACATGACAGACGAGAAGTGGATTTGACCCCAATGTTTGACATTGTTTCATGCTCTTAGAAGTGACGAGTACAGAAGCTTGGGTAGATCTTTGTCGGCACGCTTACGTGCCAGCCTACATCGATATTCCATCGATCATTGCCTCTTGTGCTATTACACGGATGTAACAAATACATCACGCGCGGTCTTTCCTTATAATGAGGAATTAGATGATCGAATCCTCTTTAAGGAACACGATACTGCTCTCAGTAGGCATTTGGGCCACGAAAAGACTTACGGATCTGTGATTAAATACTAGTGGTGGCCCAAAATAAAAAATTGGGCGAGCACAATGTGCGTATTCGAGACACTTGTCATCGGGTCAAACCCTCAGCACGTTCGGCTGCGCCTCTAGCTAGTAGCGCTGTAATCACTGGTTGCTTAGTGTCCATCGGTATGGATTTTGGGTTCGGTCTCGTTAAAGACTGTGACAGCAATACGGGAATTGTGGTCCGTGCTTCCCTTTTAAGTAAGGTATCTCACTTGGCAGCTGTGACGTACTCCGTAGATGGTAAAGATACCGCTATGGAGTTTATTGAATGGGTTTTGTCAACGTGGGTTCCCTCTGGCAATCTTTTTTGATTGTGATCCTAGCTTCACAGAAAAGTTTTGGACTACCATCTTCAAGGTGATTGGCAAACAATTGGACATCTCTTCAGCGGATCATCCGCAAAACGATGGTCAAACTGAGCACGTTTGTCGTTCATTTTTTGGTGGTGTTCGTCGCAGTAATTGTTCGAGAGTCACGAAAGACTTGGACCTTGATGCTCCTTGTCATTGAATTTGCGTTGAACAACGCTGTCTGTGCATCAAATGAATTATCTCCCTTCTATTTGAAACAGCCTCACACAACCGAGAGTTCCGCTCATTCTATCACTGCGTGATATTAAGCTTGGTGGGGTAGAGGCTCCTCACAAGCTCGATTATACTGCTCATACTTATATGAAGAAAAAGTCTAAAAAGATAATCGCGACGCGCTTCAGTGTCTTACGCCATGTGGGTGATGCAATAAATGATAGCTAAGATATACAAAAAGAACGAGCTTATGCTGTGTGCAGAATAGGTATTTATTCTTAACAGGTTGGAGACCAAGCCTTACTGAACGCTAAATTCCTGCCTCCAAAATTATAGTCTGCCGACTTTGAGAAGAAGTTGCCCCACGCTTTAATGGGCTGTTCAAGGTCATTGCGAAGTAATCTTTGCATACGAGCTAAATTTTTTACGCAAGCTGCACACACGTAGTATTTTACATCGGCTTGATTAAGCCATACAATGATGTTTTCCACGTGGATCGGGAAGCGCTTGCGCCTGGAATAAGGAATTTGTCTCAGGCAGTTAAATATTCGTCAAGAGCTCCACCTGGACTTCCGACAGAGGCAGGTTAAAGTCACCTTTCGCAGTTGTTTTTGGTTCAAGTCGATATATCCGAAGTAATTTATGTGATAACACAACGGGTCCAACTCTGTCGATGACTTTTCACGAGAGCGCAGCACTTGATCGGGATATCACGAAGCTGTTTTCTCCCAGACACAGACTAATCCAGTGCACTCTCTATGCAATCAAAAGATTAGAGGATGCGCACCGACTTTGACACAACGTATTTATGAGTATCTACGGACACACTGTAGCTCTAAGTGAACAAACTCCTGAAGCGGCGCCGTCACAAAGATCATTCTAACCAGTATCTAGCGAGGTAGCAGTTTAATGTCCTGATTCTGAGATTTCACGGGACTTTGAGGTGATACTTCGACAAGATTGACACTACTCTGTTGACCTTTTCGAGCGTCGTACTGAAAGTTATTCTGCTGCCTGCCTTGCTTCCGATCATTGGGCGTGGGGTAATAAGGCCCGCGCACACCATTCAGTGAACAGCCACTACATGTGCAGTCATAACATTGGAGAATAGACCAACACTTGGTTTCGCGTATCGGGTACCATACTTTGACCGCAGTTTGACCTTTAGTTTAAAAACCTTATTGTATTTTGTGCTTCTTAAAAACGTCGGCCTGTGAGCGCTGTAAAAAAGGGAGTCTATTCCGGGTAAGCATCGTGACTGATTGTAACGGGGTGAATCGTTACATAACAATTTATAAGAAATTGTTAATAGAATATAACTATAAGAGTTATATTCTCAGAATATTGTCATAAGGACGAATATTCTGTAGCACTTACGAGTAGTTCCTAATTGGTTGATATAGGCCATTATATCAACCAACGAAGACGCGCCACGACAGACGCACGCAATGAGTGGTGAGCAGATAATCAATTTACACATTTGTATTTAGACATAGTTAGATGAAGATAAATAGTGATTTATTGCAGACACTAACTATACTAAATACAGTTCTACTTTTTACTTTAACCAAGTACTCGCTTCTTCTTACCGTCTTCCTCTGCACGTACCAGTGTACGTGAAGTTCCGAGGCACCGCCTTATTCTGTCGTCAGAATAAGTAGCTTTTACCGTCACCAGTACAAGCTTCAGGGTGCCCCGTTACACCTGGTAGCACTTCGTAGTCCGTCCAAGGACCGCGTTCACATCCAACATGAATATGTTGGATGATGAAGATGACCAAAGCTTTCACGCTACGCGTGACGGCTACTCCCATTTGAGCGATGTCGAATGGGATGCGGTTGAACGAATGGGTTCGACCATGGGCATCCATGCTGTTAGCGTCATGCTAGAGGCTCTCAATAGAGATGCCCAACATGCTACTATCGCCAAGTTCATTCAAAATGAACTTGACGCTGAACGCGAGAAAGTAGCCTTGCTTCACCAACAAGGTTCTCAACAAGCAGAGTTGTTGAGAGAACAGGGTGCTCAACAGTTTGAACTGTTGAGACAGCAGCAGGCTGCTGCTGGTGGGTCGATGCACTCGCGTCGGCCCGAGACTTTGAAGATTGACATCTCCAAGTATAGGGGGGTTGTAACGGGGTGAATCGTTACATAACAATTTATAAGAAATTGTTAATAGAATATAACTATAAGAGTTATATTCTCAGAATATTGTCATAAGGACAAATATTCTGTAGCACTTACGAGTAGTTCCTAATTGGTTGATATAGGCCATTATATCAACCAACGAAGACGCGCCACGACAGACGCACGCAATGAGTGGTGAGCAGATAATCAATTTACACATTTGTATTTAGACATAGTTAGATGAAGATAAATAGTGATTTATTGCAGACACTAACTATACTAAATGCTGTTCTACTTCTTACTCTAACCAAGTACTCGCTTCTTCTTACCGTCTTCCTCTGCACGTACGAGTGTACGTGAAGTTCCGAGGCACCGCCTTATTCTGTCGTCAGAATAAGTAGCTTTTACCGTCACCAGTACAAGCTTCAGGGTGACCCGTTACACCTGGTAGCACTTCGTAGTCCGTCCAAGGACCACGTTCACATCTAACATGAATATGTTAGACGATGATGATGACGAAAGCTTTCACGCTACGCGTGACGGCTACTCTTATTTGAGCGATGTCGGATGGGATGCGGTTGAACGGATGGATTCAACCATAGGCATCCATGCTGTTAGCGTCATGCTAGAGGCTCTCAATAGAGATGCCCAACATGCTACTATCGCCAAGTTCATTCAAAATGAACTTGACGCTGAACGCGAGAAAGTAGCCTTGCTTCACCAACAAGGTTCTCAACAAGCAGAGTTGTTGAGAGAACAGGGTGCTTAACAGTTTGAACTGTTGAGACAGCAGCAGGCTGCTGCTGGCGGGTCGATGCACTCGCGTCGACCCGAGACTTTGAAGATTGACATCTCAAAGTATAGGGGGGTCGAAGAAGACTCCCTCTTGAGATGGTTCGTCGAATTGGATGACGCCATAAGGGCGCGTCGCATCGACGATGGGGATATGCAAGTTGCATTTGCCCAGTCAAATCTGGCAGGACGTGCCAAGACTTGGGCACTGGGGCTCAAGTTGCACGACCCATATGCGTTTGGGTCGTTGGAAGTCTTCAAGTCGCGGCTCAGACAAACGTTTGAACCGCCTAGAGCTGAGTTCAGGGCTCGAACCGAACTCTTGAAGCTCAAACAGGGTAAGCGTGATGTGCACGCTTACGCCCAACATATACGACATCTCACGAGTTGTATAAGTTCCAATCCGGTGGATGAACACACGTTGGTTTCGGTGTTCATGCAGGGTCTTGCGGATGGTCCCGTCAAGACTCACCTGTTCCGACTTGAATTAGATTCACTAGAACAAGCCATTTCCATTGCGGAACAGGAAGACTTTAGTCTGAGACAGGCTCGCGCCAGCTCGACATCGTATCGTCAACCGAGACGATATGACAACGGAGGTCCAGAGCCGATGGAAATCTGCTATGTAGAGAGCGAGAAGGCTCGCTCTACAGACTACAAGAAGTTGCAGAAATGCAACAGATGTCAAAAGACAGGACACTACGCTTACGAGTGTAGTGCTCCTCGTCCAGTGTCTCGCAACACTGGGCGTAGTGACCGTCCACCCATGAGAAAGGGGCAGGGACGAGGGTCCGCTGTTGGTGCAAAGACGCAACAACGGTATGGACCGTAAAAAACGGACAGGACCAGTAGGTGCGGAGCACCCTACTGGTCCAGCAACGTCAAGAGAATTTGTAGGCCTCTTGGTGAAGGTTGCTCACAACACACAAACGTTGTGCGTTGCTGCTCTAGGTAATGAGATCTCACTCATTACCTTGAAACTCGAAGTGACGAATAAGTTGTCCCTTCGAGCTCTAGTCGATTGTGGGGCGTCCAACAATTTTGTGCGACGCCAATCGCTAGAAGATGGTCACTTTAAATTCAGTGAATGTGACACACCTCCTACGAGGATGACGGTACGTCTTGCGATAGGCGCATCCGTAACCGTCATGAAGCGTATAGTGAAGATCCACTATACGCTAGAAGATACCCATTATGACGATGACTTTATCGTACTGGATTTGGATGACAAATTTGATGTCATCCTTGGAATACCGTGGCTCAGAAGGTAGGAACCACGGGTTAACTGGCAACATCGAACAGTAACGATGCCTGACGCTTGTTCATCAGATGGCCATTTGATGAGCGTTTTGGAGCGTCCACAAGCGTTTGGATGTACTACGAGTGAGTGATATGGCCTCACTTGTGGTACAGTCGTTAGGAAGACTACACTAAACCTTAGTGTAACAAACAGTTACACTTCGGAGCAAAGTTCCGGCGGCTGTGAGAAAACACAGGCTGCGCCGAAGGTCCACCACTCGAATAAGTCGAGTGGACCGGGACAAAGATGTATCCCTAGCGGGGAACATCTAGAAGAGAAACAATCGATCGCTCAGGTTAAGCGAAACGATAATCCTAGATCGACTGGAGAGTCTTTCGTAGAGGATCTCGCTGTGGTTGCGCAACCCCAGCTAGAGGAAGTAAAGGGAATAAGTCCCAAGATTACAAATACGGCGGAAATAGGTTCCCCGAAACCTGAGGGAATAGGTCCCCGGGAAGCCGAAGGAATAAGTCCTTCGAGGCCTGAGGGAATAAGTCCCCAGGAAATGACAGAGACATTGAATGTCCTAGTCAATGAAGGATCAAGTGTATGCGCTTATACACTTGATCTGATTGCGCCTCCGAGTTGACTTCGGAGATCACTCAGTTGCCAACGCTCGAACATAAAAGGTTCTTGTGTGATCTGCGTAGTGGCAAAGTCAAGCAGATCTGCATACTCGTCGCTGAAGACGAGTATGTAACCGACATAAGATTAGCAACAGTGTTTACTGAGAACGAGAGAGTTCTCAGTAATTCATCTATGGACGAGAGTGTCCTAGATGAAAAGACACGAATTGAGCGATATGACTCCCAATCGTGGGAATCGCTCAAGACAAATCCTCTCTATGAAGATTTGGTTGAATTCAAGGATGTATTCCCTGAAACTGTTCCGTACGAATTACCGAAGGATAAAGGTATTCGACACGAGGTCGAGCTTAAACCAGGCTCGAAGTACTGTGTCATGAAGCAGTGGCCACTGCCTCGTGAACAAGTACTTGCGATCGACAAGTTTTTTGTCGATCGTTTAGCTGCGGGCCATGTGAGGGAATCAACTTCCCCACATAGCTCTCCGACCTTCTGTGTGCGAAAAGCAACAGGAGGGTGGCGGATTGTGCATTAATTTAACAAGTTGAATGATGCAACGTTACCGGCTCAGACGCCGATACCGAGGAAGGACGTAATCATTGATGGTATGTCAAAGAGTACCATCTTTTCGTCCATGGATTTGATGGATGGCTTCTATCAAATCCTTATGCGGGAACGGGATATACCCTATACCGCAGTTAGCACGCCTAGCGGCATGCTCTGGGAATGGCTAGTAATGCCACAAGGGCTCAGTAATGCCCCTGCCACGTTCAACAGATGTGTATCACATCTGTTGAGACCAGTACGAGAATTCGCACCGAGTTATTTCGATGACGTATTCATCCATAGTCGAGCGATGGATGGAAAGTCGGACGTTGAGGTTCACAGGTACCACGTCCGACAAGTTCTTACAATCATGCGAAAGCATCAATTTAATACAAACCTCAAGAAGTGTATATTTGCAGCAAGCGAAATACCACTTCTTGGGTGCATCGTTGGTAAGAACGGTGTACGTCCTGATCCCGAAAAGATCAAGGCGATCACCGACTGGCCTGTGCCGGTCGATGTCAAAGGTTTTCGAAAATTCCTTGGGCTAGCGGCGTATTTGCATAAGTATTCACGCAATTACGCCGAGATGACTGTGCACCTCTCTCGTTTGTTGAAAAAGAACGAGAGGTGGTTATGGAACGCTGAATGCCAACACTCCTTTGAGGGTATCAAGCAGAGCTTGATACAATCCCCAGTCCTAGCAATAGCCGATCAGGACAGGCCATTTCATGTGGTCTGTGATGCCAGCGATTTCGCAATCGGCTGTGCATTAATGCAGTACGATCTTGAAGGCGTTGAACGCGTCGTCTGCTATCAGTCGCGTCAGCTGCAACCAGCTGAGCGGAACTATCCAGTGCATGACAAGGAAATTCTTGCCATAAAGTATGCATTCGCGAAGTTAAGTGTCTATCTATTAGGAGATAGACCCTTCATTGTTTACACTGACCATGCGTCATTACGCACGGCAGTAAACAGCCCGCACCTTTCACAACGAATGGCGCGGTGGTTGTCATTCTTTTCAGAATACAACTTTACGGTCGAGTACAAACCAGGACGACTTCATGTCGTCGCTGATGCAATCTCACGTCGTCCCGACTTTGAAAAAGTAGTGAAACCCAACAGTGAGCCATCCACTGTTGCGGTTATGACGTCCTCCATACCATCTCTAACGTTACATGATGATGTGAGGCGGGCGTATGCCCAAGATGGTGGGATTGTGAGTTGTTGACACATCTCTCACAGCCATCTCGAGAATCGTCGAAACGATTGTCGTCTGCGTATTGATCTGCATCAGATCGATACACTACTCGCAACGGTTTACTGTATTATACAGCCGTTTCTGGTGACACACCACGTGTTGTCATTCCAGATGATACTGATCTGCGTTTGAGGATCATGTTCGAGTATCACGATGCTCCTATAGGAGTACATCGTGGCCGTGAGAAAACATGTCTCACGGTGAGTCGAGACTTTAACTGGCCCCGCCAGCATCAGTTTGTGCGCAAGTATGTTCGCGCATGCGAAGTCTGTCAACGAGTGAAGTCAAGACCTTTACTGCGTGCACCTTTACAGCCTCTACCGGTTCCGGCTGAGTGCTGGGAATCCATCTCAATAAATTTTGTCTTCCGGTTACCCAAAGACGCACGCGGGAATACGGGTATTCTCGTCTCTGTTGACAGATTCAGCAAAATGGTACACCTTGTGGCTGTACCAGAGACAATCACGGCAAGTGGCTGTGCTTGTGTCTTTATCGACACCATCTTCCGACTTCATGGGTTGCCCCGTGAACTCGTATCAGACAGAGATCCACGATTCACTGCTGATTTCTGGCGTTCCGTGTTCAAATCACTCGGAACGCGCTTGAAGATGTCGACATCTGATCATCCAGAGTCAGATGGTCAGACGGAACGTGCCAATCGTGTCCTTGAAGAGATACTTCGAGGATACGTACACTCCTTTAAGAGTTGGAGTGAGTTCTTGCCAATGGTAAAGTTTGCCATCAACAACTCAGTGCATGCGTCCACGACACATACACCGTTTTACGTGAATGGCTTGCGCAATCCGCGTGTACCCACCTTACTAGAGTGTAACTCTGGTTTAAGGGGGGGAGGGACTCGCGCGAGCAAAAACCGATTTGGTTCACGCTCATCACGCTCTGACGAAGAAGTCATTGCGTTTGATGCCGATATCGATAACATCGATATCGAAGAAGATGATGCCAGTGAGAGTGCGGAAGCCCTCACTGAAGAAGATGATCCCAGTGAGAGTGCGGAAGCCCTCACTGAAGAAAAGGTTGATGTTGCTGCAGTGCGCTCACAGCACACTGAAGCTAACGAGTCATCAGATGAGTTCATACTGGCTCGTGAAACGGTAGTCCGTTTTGTGCAAGACTCCATCGCCGAAGCGGTGGATAAGCAAAAGCAAAACGCTGACGAGAATGGAAGGGCAAACACTCTTTTATTTAATAAAGGTGACTTAGTCCTACTGTCTACGGTTAATCTACCAAAGCATGTAGTGACTAACTTGGGTAGCAGTAAACTTCTACCCAAGTACATTGGCCCATTTCGTGTATTGCACCGCCTAGGCAATGCATACACGATCGAGTTACCACGTAAGATGCGAACGCATCCCACGTTTTACGTTGGTCGGCTTAAGCCGTACCATCAGTACGCTGCTTCTTCCGATGAAGAACGCCCTTGTGCTCAAGCATCTCGCAGAGAGCCTTGTGCTCCCGATGGTGGGCATCAACAAGGGTCTGAAGAGCAGCTATCTCATCCCGAGACCGATCAGCAATCCCACGAGCTACCCTTAGCTCGTCACGAAGAGATGTCAGAGATCTCTCGTTCTCGAGCTGAGCAAAGGCAAACTCAGCTCGATGCTTCGAGGCAGTGTCCGCCATTTGGAGACGCCTATTCCGCTCATGTTCGAGATCGTCGCGTAACCCTTGCGTTACGCGATCAAAGAAGCTCTCGGGTACACACCGATCCACATGATCGTGTGGAGAGCGTCTTTCCTCCTCCTCCACCTCCATTAGAGGACTCTCGCGGTGGCCAGCGCTATCTAGTTGAGCAGCTGTTGAACCACCGCGACGTAAACGGACGTCGGACGAGTTATCTCGTCCGGTGGCGCGGCTATCCCCCGTCCTGGGATACTTGGGAGCCCCGCTCCCAACTGATGATCGACGTACTGGGTCTGGTTGAGCAGTACGACGCGGCACATCCTGTGCCGCAGAAGGAACGCCGGAGAAGGTCTTCCCGGCACGGTCGTAAAGGGATTTCAGGTTGTCAATCCCTTCGTACATCTCAGTAGAGACACGTACGCGCCACCACGGGCTGGTAAGGAGGTAAGCCTCCTTAGGTGCTCGTGCAGAGTTGTTCACACAACATGGGCACGAGTCTT